TCTATCGGGATGTCGATTGCATGGAAGTGCTGGACAGAGGAGCAAAACTCGGTCTGACTCCAGCTGAGCCCAGGCTGCTGCTGCTCGAAGACTCGGGGAAGATTCGTCGCTGAGCCAGGAGTGTTTGGGATCCCCCCGACAGCCACAGCTCTCCTGGCTGCTGAGGGCTGAGTGTTTCGTCCTTACAAACGTGATGGGCACCATCTAGGAATTTGCAGCCCTTCAATACCCATTACGCACAAACCTGAGGGTGGTTTCGGGGGTTGCTGGCTGGGCTCTTTGTCATATTTTTACGAGCTTTTGTGATGAAAACCAAATTTCTTCACAGTGTAACTTTGTGATTATTTTTTTTTCCATGCTTTGATTGTTTGCTAATAAACAATCTGTTATTTTTTTCATCTTCTCCATGTCTGATCGTGCGTGTAGCCGAAACCCCTCTCCTCCCCATGCCAGTCTCCTGGGGGAAAAAAAAAAAAAAAGACTTCAGAGAATCAGGGCAGAAAGTTCTTGTTCTGTTCCTGCCCAGGTCTTTTGGTTTGCTGGGCACTAGGCAATACCACAGCCTTGACTGGTGGGCATCAGGGGCTTCTCCAGCTGGGTTTGGATTCTGGTCTTTCCTTGTTAACCTGCTGAGATTTGAGTAAAAGAACCTTGCAGCTTCCAAAGCTACGGCTAAGCTGGAGCTGAGAGAGGAGCAAGGTGCTGGGAGGAATACTGACCGAGCTCTGACGTATTTCCATATATCATTCAATAAAAGTTTTTAGATTCTTTTTTCCCCCTGATCAGCCCCTAACAACCTGGTTACTACATGCCTTACACTGAGAGGCAGCAAACCACAGATGCAAGTAAAATGTAAGTGGTTTTTGCACGCCTAAAATATAAAGGTGTAATACCTGCTGTCTTGGGCTGTGCTGCTCCTTCACAAGCAAATGCATTTATGAGAAGGGAGGAAGGTTTGTGTCAGGAGCTGAGCCCATTTCTGGCTGAGCTGGGCTGCTGTTTGTTTAAGTGTTGGGCTAAGACTGAGCTTGGATGGGTTCTTGCCTTGGCTCTGTACCCCTTAATCTTCCCTCTAATGTTTTATCTTAATAGTGAGGCTTTTGGAGGATCAATGCTTATGCATTTAACCCAATGAAGCCTCGATCTCCTCTGAGCCCTCTACAGGCATCTTGGTAATTCAGCTAAGGCAGATTTCAATGAATCATCGTTCACAGCTGAATTGGTCTTGAAATACTAACTGAAAGAGTGGGGGCAAATATTTGGGTGGGATGACGATGGTTGCGATTCAAAAACCATTGGGACATTGCTCGAAGACAGGGAAATGGCAAGGTCGGGGGCAGGCAGTGGGATCGCTTGGCTTTTGGACGCATCCATGCTCAAAGTCTTGGGGAAATGGGGAAAAACACGAAGCTCTGGAGGTTTCGGCCATGCAGGGCTTGGGCACACCACGAGATGGTGCAGCTGTGCAGCGATGGCTTTTAAAGGCGCCGTGAAGGGAGCTTAAAAGACATTATCTCAAATGAAAACATCACCACGGCTTCGCTGTCTTAATCTGCCAGCGTTGTACCCCGTGTGGGAAATGTCTTCCTTCAATTAAAATCTCTCTCGGTACTTCAGAGGTAATTTCTTCATCTGTTTAATGAAGGCTGAGTTTCCCTTGCAAAAGGAACTGGGGTCTCCCCAGCTGAATACAGCACAGAAAGTATTCGTGTTAATTTTAGTTACTGTTTTCTTCCAAGAAAATGCAAAATCCCATCACCAGCACATGAAAAATAAGGAAATTAGTATATCCCCAGCGGAGTTTAAAATGTTGTTACACCTTCCCCAGTGTGGTAAACATACTGCTCCAAAATCTTCGCTGCTAACCGTGCTGTTTGGTCTGTTTGTTTGCTTAAAATTGTCTGGGATTTGGCCGAAGTACATCATAAAATCCGTGGACAAATGTTAAATCTCCAGGAGGGAGATTAAAAAAAAAAAAAAAATAGAAATAAACAGAATTGGATGCCAAGCTGGCAGGTGGGAGCAAGGCAGCGCTCCCCACGCCTCTTCCGCATCCCTGCCTGCGTGCGGAGCTGAGCTGGGGGGTTTGGGGCCAGGCCAGAGCTGCAGCATGTGCTGCAGGGTTATGGGGCAGGGTTATAGGGCCAGGATGTCTGTCTGTCCTGGAGGGGGATCTGTCCAGCCCAGGGAGCAGCCCCAGCTCAGCCTGGGGGCTGCTGGCTTCTGGTTCGGTTGTTCCCTCTCTTCTGCCTCTTCTTTTAGAGGAATGAATGTCTGTCCGAGTGTTGGTTGGCTTATTTCCTCCCCGCAATATCTAGATGGGAAGTTATCCCTCTCTGTCAGTGCATAGCACGGGAGATTAACGCTGAGAAATAATAGCTATTGGCATACCACGAACTCCACGTGGGACTCGAGCTGCACATCTCCTGCCTGCCTTCCAGTTAATCCGTAGCCCAGCTCTGCTCAGCACTCCCGTCCTGGGCTCAGCATGTGGCCCCCAGGAGGAGAACTAAGGTGAAACTGGATTAATGTAATCTGAGCAATATGGAGAATTTCAATTAAAAGGAGTGGGATTCCTGCAGGAGGTGTCTGCCAGCACGACTGACCTGTGCCACAGTAAGGGTCCAGCTCCAGCCGATGGGCTGGCATTAAATTGGGCTCTGATCTCCCCAAAATCCTGCTGCTCCGTGAATTATTCCACTTCCTTGGGTGCTGCTGATGGGCACGGCCCTTTCTCACCTTTACTCTGCTATAAAGGAAGGAAATGATCTGAGGGATTCCGTTTCTGAGGGCAAACCATCCCACAAATAAAGCATTTCCTCATACCCGCTGCGAAGGCCGCGGCCTGCTCGCCCGTGGGTCCGCGTCGCCATGGCACCTCCTGGCCAGCCCTGCCAGGGGGTCAGCCACAAGCAGCCACCACAGCCGGATTTCCCGGCTTCTCTAGATTCAAGAAAATAAAATCCACCATTTCACTTCTTCTTCTTAACCGAGCTGTCGGCCCTGATGCTCTCTCGCTGTGTTTTGAAAGCAGGGGATTCAATGTGCTCTCTACCAGGCCGGGTTGCACAGGCACCAGTCCTGTGCACTCTCACCCGCTTTTAGGAATTTGGGGAACGGATTTCAGCTCTGTCCTGGAAAGGGTTGGAAACACTGAAGCTAATTTTGAGTAATTTGTCAGAGTAGCAGGTTCCCTCCTCTGATAACTTTTTCAGCTTTAGAGCAGGTGTCCCCTGAGAAACACTGCATGATATTATGATGTTAGTGAGGCAGAAATCAGATCATTAGGAACTCCTGTAATTAAGGAGAACGGCTGGTCACCCACCAGCGAGATGATAAATGTGCAGAAGTGCTCCAGCAAATGGAGTGGGTCAGGGTTGGATGAGATTTGACCCCAAGGGAGGTGAAGCACAGGCCAGCTGCCAAGCTGCAAATCCGAGCAGTTCCTACATCTCCCTGCCCTCAGAGCAGAAGAAAGTTGTCACCGTTTAATGTCCCTCAGCTGCATCATATGAAATACAGCAGTAGAAGGGCGAGTGCTCCATTGAAGGGCAGCATGTACCCATTTTACAGATGGGAAGGGGTGGTGTCGGTGGAAGAGGGCTCTGGGTCCCCTGGATCCCACCCCACAGCTCACAGCACCATCCCCTCCAGAGCCTTCAGAGCCCAGAGCTCTCCAGCAAAGCTTCAACAAGGCCACCTGCCCATCTTCCTCGCATGTTAACACAACCAGCTGCAGTTCCTCAAGTTCAATTTTGAGTCAGAAGTGCCCAATAACTGCTCCTTGCCTCTCCCTTTGCCCCAGTCACTTGGCCATGTGTTAGGAATTGAGCTCCCAGCTCTGTAGATCTGACCTTATAACAAGTCCAGGTCCATACGGGTGTGCAGCCCAAGCCACCTAAACCTGGCTTGCTCCTGGACATTTCCTGCTCCCCTGAATGCCAGAGGTTTCGCTCCAGAAGAATAAATCCCTTTGGGCATGGAGCTGCTGAGAGGTGCGTGATCCCCTGCTGCGTCCTTCCACCGCTGCACCCTCTGCTCTGGAGAGCTGCTTCTGTAGCAGTGGCAGTCAGAGCTGGGGAAAGTGCCCTCTGCTGCTTTATTTTAAAATGCCAGCCTTTGATCAACAACAAACTGCAAACTTGCCATGTCCAACAAACTTTCTGGACACCCCTCTTTTTTATGGCCAGTTATAGAGCAATGAAATCATGTCAAATCCTGTAACAGCATCTTCAAAGTTCAAAGCAGTTCTGTGATTATTTCCTTTTTTTGTTTGTTTGTTTGTTTGTTTTGTTTTGTTTTGTTTTGTTTTCCTGTAAATGAGCCTAATTAATTTTACCTTTTAACAATCTCAAGATATAAAGGCTGTTAGAAATAAGCTGCACTTCTGCAATGAAAGAAACGCCAATATAGGAAAACCTTTTTGGAGCTCATCCTGATGGCAGCACCTGAAAAATGCACTGTGGGAGGGAAGGAGGGGATGATGTCCCCATTGGGCTGGTGGGAGCAAAAGGTGAAGCCAAGCTTCCAGGTCCCTGAGCTGCCCTCGGGTCCACAGCAGAGGCAGCTGCTTCAAAGCATTTCATAGATTCATAGAATGGTCTGGGGTGACAGGGACCTCAAAGCCCATCTAATCCCAACCCTCTGCCATGGGTAAGGAGCCCTCCCACCAGCCCAGGCTGCTCCCAGCCCTGTCCAACACAAAGCTGGCTGTTTGAGCAGAAAAACATGCACCATAGGGAACAGCAACATCAGATGCTTTTTTTCTGAGAAAATAAGGTCTTGGGAGAGGTCTCCCTCATGGCCAAAACATCCTGTATTCTTGAGTCAGTGCTGCCCCTGTTCCCTGCTCCTGGTGCCATTCCTCCTGGTACCCAGAGGTACCAACAGTGGCTTCACTTCTCCTTCAGCTCCCCCCTCTCCTCCCCAGCTGCTTTGCTTCTCAGGAGATTTGAGCAGAAATCACTTTAGTCCCACCTGAAGCCCCATGGAAAGAACTAAGCCCTCCAGTCCCAAAGCCACTGCTTTGGTGGGCTTTGTGGGGCTTTCAGGAGATCATTTCCTCATACTGCTGCCCCCAGGGGAGGCTCTTCCCTGTGCTGTTGTGGTTGCTGTCCTTATTGAACTGAAATATTGGGCTAAAGGAAGAGAAAATGGGATTATTTTAAACATTGCTGTTATTTCGGGTAAGCTGCATGTAAAATGAAATGGTTGCTGAGGGATGGTGGATACAGTCATACCCATACCAGTACTCAGAGGGGGCTGCAGGAGAGCTGGGGAGGGACTCTTGGTCAGGGAGTGCAGTGACAGAACATGGGGAAATGGCTTTAAACCGAAAGAAGGTGGGTTTAGGTTAGATATTAGGAGGAAATTCTTCACTGTGAGGGCAGTGAGGCCCTATCCTAGGCTGCCCAGAGGAGCTGTGGCTGCCCCATCCCTGGCAGTGCCCAAGGCCAGGCTGGATGGGGCTGGGGGCAGCCTGGGCTGCTGGAAGGGGGCCCTGCCCATGGAGGGGGTGGGATTAGATGGACTTTGAGGTCCCTGCCAACCCAAACCACTCTCTAATTCTAGGACTGAGTGGGCAGATCGTGTTTGCCTCTCCTGCAGGAGAAGTCCAAACAAACAAGCATACGGCAGGACACCAGGAGGCTGTGCCGCAGGGCGCTGCGCTGCAGGAGAGCAGGGAGATGCAGCGGATGACAAAGCCTGGATCTCTTACACGCTGCTTCTGAAGGAAAAATAACCTCGAGTTTAAAAAAACAAGCCATTGCAAAAAAAAAAAAAAAAAAAAAAAAAGGCTCATTCTAGGAATATATTCAGAGGGAAAGTTATGTAAAATCTGGGAAACCATTGCTGCTGTGCTACTCAATGCCAAGGAGATTTGGACAGGAGCTGTGTTCAGTGCCAGTGTGCCTCAAGGCAGAAAATGCCGATGAAGTGGACTGGCAGAGCCACAGATTGTGGAGAGCCTAACCCACAGGAAAGCAGCACACTGTGCATTTCTTCTCAAAGAGAGAATTTGTCGGGATTAATGCTTGTTTTTTAGCAGGATGTCTGTCAGATTGCTGTCCTCTCTAGAAAACAGCATCATTTTCAACCAAAAAATAATAATTCAGCATCATATTAGGACTACCACATAGCTACAGCCTAGCAGTACATGGTTTAAGTAGGGACATCGCCTATCTGGACCAGAGGAGCATTTCACCAGCAAGGATGCTTCTTCCCCTGGACTACCCCATGCAGACACCATGTACCTTTGTAGGTACGTGTCTGCAGATGGCATTTTGTGGCACAAAGGCATCTGGACGAACCTTCAAAAGCAAGGATTGTAAAAGCCTTTATCCCCCAGGATGCTGACCTGCTGCTGCTTTGCTTTCCAAAAGTGTTTTAGAGGTGTCTTTGGGACAGGTAATCCAGCTGGGAAGGCTAGTTAGGAGAGGAGAAAGGGGATGTAAGGAAATAGCTTCACGCCTGCATCATCGGAGATTTGAAGCGTTCTGGAATTTGGCTGAGAGCTGGGGTGTGGGTTTTCATTGAATAATCGACAGTTTCTGGGTACTGCAGAAAATGTTCCTGAGAGATCCTGAATTTGTCACTAGTGCATGCGAAAAGCAACCCTGTACCAGCAGGCTGCTCCTCTCTCTGCATTTTTACATATAATGTATGGTCCTCGTAAAATGGCAGGAAACTTCTTCCTTCTGGATTCATCCCCCCCCAAGCCAGGAATGCCACCCTGGAGGCATCTTTTGTGCTCCTCTCCCCAGATGCCTCCTGGAGCTGGATTTGTGCACAGAAGGAATGTGGCCTGCAGAAGTCCTCCCCAGCACGTCTTCCAGCAAAAGGAGCCCATCCGGATCCTCAGTGGGGAGAGAAAACCTCCTAAAAGCAAAGGTCAGTACAGGAGATGAAGGAGAGCCTCTTATCCAACTCCTCCGCCCTCTTTGTGAATGCTTTTGGTTCCAGGCGAGGCAAAACCCACGCAGAAATGGGCAGAAACCCCATGTTTGAGTGCACAGTGATGCAATCATTTCCCCGGCATCTCTTTATCGCCCATCCCCGAGCAGGTTTGGCTAGAAGTGGAATGGCATTGCTCATTTGCACAAGGATTCCCCGAGCATGACCTCTCCCTTGTAGTAGAAATCCCACAAGGAAGGAACACGGGTTTCTTGCTTAGTGTTTGAATTGGTGACTGGAACCGCCCGGGAAAATGCTCTCAGCTCACATGTGTCAGTGCTCTGACCCTGTAAGGACGGGCGGTGTCGATGTTTGCCATGGCTAACAGCCAAAGCACTCCAGAAGATTTGGGTGGACCAGCCTCGGGGCGAGGTTTTTCCTCAAAATGGGTGGGTTTTGGGGAATACCATCAGATCTTCTCGTGCAGAGCTTGGTGGCAGCTGGGGTGGCAGCTTGGGTCCTATTGCTTCTTGGACCCAAACTTGCAACTAGGTGTGATGTACGGCCCCATGGGTTGTGCGGAGGACACAGGAGAGCTGGGCTTCACCTCTGGCTTTGACTTTCTGAAGATCTTTAGTGACAAAGAGATTTAACTCTCCAGGCCCTGATGTTGCCTAAAACACAGCTGCAGGAGTTCTGCAATCATTGAAGCAACCAGAACAGCACAAACCAAGTTGTTTCCCTCAAACAGTTTTCACGCCTTTCATCTCCCATCTTTTGAGGGGAAAACCAGAAAATCTCTGTGGGTTCTGCCCACCTGCTTAACATCCTATTTGTGTTCCTGGGGCTGATCTGCAAGAGGCAGGTGGAGATGATGCTGAGAAGTCCCCAGACCATGCAGAGGTGTGCCCAGCACCACCCGAGCTCCTTCCAGCACCATGACGTGTTCAACGTCAATTCACTGGGGGTAATGAAGCAAGTTGAGCACCCTTTGGGGACCATGAAGGGCAGGGAGGGGTGATATTTAACAGGGTGACAATTTCTCAGCCCGGAGGGCGATTCATTTCTCCTGCTCCTTCCTGGTTGGCATACAGAGGGCTGCATTCCTGCAAACAATAGCTCGGCCAGCCTCAGCTACCTGCCATGCCCGCAGCCCTGCAGACACGGTCCTGCTGCTGCCTGCAGGTCCTGGGGATCAGCAGCTTGACCCCTTTGTCTACTAGGGTTTGAAATCCATTGGCTGTGACACTGATTCCATGGGGGTGACTGCTGTGTTGGCAGAAGGACAGGGCTTTGGGATTTCAGCAGAGGGTGCCTGGGGAGTCACAGCAGCAGCCAGGTCGCCGAAATGACAGGGATTAAAAATTAAGCTTGGGAGGGAGGGTGGGGTGATTTTGTGGGCGCTCAGGTATAGTCACCGACGCAAGCAGTCAGGTTTCCCACAGTAGATAAAACCACTGGTCTGCCTGAATGCTAAAAATAAATGGTGAGGGTGAGAGCTCCAGCAGCCTTTGCCACCGGGGCATGTCTCCTGCAAACTGCTGGGGACCCACACCGACTTTCTGCTTTGTGCACAGGCTTCCCATGTAATTGTGGCCCAAAAGGCATAAATAACCTCCTTTTCTCCATCCTACTTGTTCATGGTGCAACTCCCATGCCAGGACAGACCCCAGGATCTCCGGGGATGTGAGCACCACGACATGAGCAAGTTGCTCCTCCACCAAGGGCTGCCATGGTCACACAGCCATTAACTGGTGCTGGCACGGCCCTGCCTTCCCTGCGTGTGCAGTCCTTGCTGTGAAATGTCTGCTTTCTGCTGGATTCAGCTGCCGCTGGAAACTGCTGAGGCTTTGCTCGATGACCCTGACCAAAGCGTGCTGGAATTCGCTGGGTTTCAGACGGTTTTCATTAGGGCTGCGAGAGAGCCCCTGAGGTTTTGTGAAATTCCTGAGCTATCCGTACGGCAATGTGCAGGGCTGGCCGGTTGGTAGGGATGTTTGGTTTTGCTGCTCCTCCCTGCTCTCTGCCTTCCTCTCCTCCTTCTCTTCCCCGTCAAGGTAGGCTCTGCTCTCCCTAGGGGAACATCTGCTCCGTGCTGCGGCTGAGGACTGAAGACTAAGTGGTGACAGGACACTTAGGAGGAGGTTCGCCTTCGTGACCAAGTCAGCAGGCTGGTGCTTGGGTGATTTGGGCTTATTTAGGCCTTTATTACTCAGTTCCCACATTAATACTGCTGGGGAGACCTTATCCATCTCCCTGCTACTGATTGAAGACTGACGTGAGAGAGGTAAACACAGGGCCAGGCTCCCACAATCGCTCACCCTGGGAGGATCAGTTTAGGTGTCTGCGCTTGCTTTGTAAAGGGCTGAATCAGGATTTGAGATCTCTAAAGGAAGTCGGTAATTTAGTAAGGGTTATTAACAGCTGACAGCCCCGAACCTCAGCTCAGCTGGTTGCAGTTTATGTAAAACCAAGGAAAACACTCAGGGAAAGGAATGCAATAGCTCGGTTCTCCTGCACATCATTCCCCCGGGGTTAGACTCTGTATAGATCACCGCATTGCCTTGAAGCTCACCCCTTTAGGTTCTCCATCTCTTTCCTTAAAGGGCCAAGTTGACACGGAGTGCTTCCCCAAAGCCTTTTGGCTTTCTGGAGAAACAGAGCCGTTTTCTGAAGCAGTAGAAAATGGAAGCACAAACCTCATCCATCCTAGCAGGCACCCAGCCAATGACCTGAAGGACATCTGATGCCCAAACTCCACACCTGCATTAGGGGTAGGGTCTGACGGTGACATGGGGTGAGGGGTCTGGGGGCCTTCTGGAAGCCTCCCCAGATGAGGCAATGCCCTGAAAATGGCCGGATCTGTGCTGGGGCCCCACTGCCGCATTCCTCCTCTCCGTTCCCTCTGGAAAGCTGCCAGGGCCTCTGTTTGCCCATGCCACGCCGCACGGCCCCACCTGGGCCATCCTGTTTGCTCAGCACACCTGTTAATTCTTGGCACGAGCGAGCAAGTGGAGAAGGGAACAGAGCAGAGGATCCCGTGCCCCCCGTGCCCCCAGGCAGGGCCAGCAAAACTGATTGACCTCCCAAAGGTGAGGAGCAGCTCCCTGAGGATTTTCCTCCACATCTTTCCAAATATAATTTTGGAAAACAAAATTTGGTGCATCACAGAACCTTGCAAAGCCTTCGGTAGTGGTCAGTGCTCACACAACGAGGCCAGGGGAGGGCTGGTATGGCCACGTCCTTCAACGTCGCTGCGGTGAGGGCAGGTATCATTGCTGAGGTGTTTCTCCTTATTAGCAGAGACTTAAGAGTTGTGCCTCCTACCTCCAAGGATCACCTGTAGATATTTTAAGATGTAGAAGAGGGGTTTGAGCCTGAGCAGAAGCCCTGGGAGACCTTGCTGTGGTGCTGGAAGGTGACACCATCTCTGGCCCTCTCTCCTTTTCTTTTGCAAGGGGGACTTTCCCTCATGAGCCTAAGGAAATATGAGCCTCATATCCGCAGTTCTCATCCTATCATAGCTGGCTTAAAATGGGGTTTGCACCAAGGTTGCCAAACAATAAATTGGAGCAACCAGTACAGGTTTGGCTGTGCCAGAGGTACTGCTCCTGTCTCAGCCTGCTGCGAGCTGTGGGCTCTAGGAAGACAAACCAGCTTTCCAGAGCTCCCACCAAGCTATTCCTGCCTGAATTCAGCATTTACCCTTCAGTCTTGGCTTGCCACAGCCACTCCTTTCTTCCATGTTGGGAGGAGAGAGTTTGGCCCGTCCTGCCCCTGTGGGAGCCGATGTGTGCCGGGCTCCGTTGCCCGAGAGCCAGGATGGAAGGGCTCGTCCGAGGGATGGAGGCATCTCCGTGTGCCCAGAGCTGCCTGCTGAGGTGAGGAGGACTCACTGCCACCAAAGACCACTTTGTTCTGGCCGGTGCAAGACAGCCCTGCACGGGAATGCTCCTCACCCAGTGCCCAGGCACCTTCCCTGGTCCCGAGACATTTCCATTTGCTGCAGTTAACCATTAACCAGCACACCGCTGCCCAGCACAGACAGCTCCGTGCTGCCGTGTCAGCTGGATCTGGCAGAGATTTACCCTGAGAAATACTTTCCATTCCGAGCCCTGACCTCCACCGGTCCGAACCCGCCAGGCCAAAGAGCAAAGCTGCGTTCGCCTTCCCCCACGGCCAAGTGCCTCCCCTTGCAGGCAGCAGGGCCAAATCCTGAGGCTGGTTCTCAATCCCTCCTAGCTGTCCTCCGGCCCTGCCTTGCTCATGGGTTGGATGCTGAGTGAGGAACCTGTAGTAAAATATCACATTTTGGGTCAAGGAAAGCTCTCCTGCAGCATTCTCAGAAATCCATGCAGTGCCTGGCTGCTACCAGTCATTTAACCTGATATAGGTAGCAATGGGTCCCTGCACTGCCCTCTTGTACGTGTTTTTTTTTCTCCATCCCTCACTTCTCCAAAGTATGAGGCCCCTGCCGTGTTATCTCACCCACAGGGTTTGGCCTTTCCCTCTTCCTCCCGGAGCTCTGTACCCGAAAGCGGGGTGGAAATACCTTTGCAACGTGTCATTTGACAAATACGTCCTTGGCAGAGCCTGCTTCCCCATGCACAATGTTAACCTTGTCCACAGGCACTTGGGGTGGCCAAGGGTGAGGCAGATGGGGGCCACTACATTGCCAAACCTTGATCGTGTGCTTCAGCAGAGTCTTCCTCCCAGTACTCTCTGATTTCCCCAAGCACGCCCCTATGACAATGTCTTCAGTGTCTTAAGCTTGCACTGGGACACTGAAATCAGCCTCATCTGCCAGTTGTACATATGGAAAATATCCTTTAACCACAAGGTCTCTGAGCTCTGGGAATACCAGGTCAAGGCTCAGGATGAGAAGAGGATTGCATCAGGTCACGCATGTGTGAAACGTAGCTGGGACGGGAACAGCTCAGATTATGTATGGTTACAAAACTCAGGCCGTTCTGTTTTCCACCAGTATCAAGCTAAACTGCTTGGAAATAATGTTTTCTGCTTCGTAACCCCATGGCATGACCAAAATCAGCAGGAAGCAAAAGTGCCTACAGCTCAGCGCTGAATGAGCCCATATTTTACGACAAACATTTCCTTTTCCCTTGGCACCGACTGTTCTAAACTGCTGTACATATATTTCTACAGATTTGGGCTCCTTAGCAGCTCACCAAGATTATTTATTATTATTTATTATTATTATTATCTCCCACCACAGCCAGGTGTATGACCATTGAAGCTGCTGAGGGCTTGGGGCTGACTCCTAAGGTAAAGGCAGGCCCTGCTGGAGGTCCCCATCTCCTTTGGGTTGGAGGGAGACCCAAAACATCATCCCTCTGCTCCCTGTAACATGAATTATTCCGCATGAACTTTTCAGGAATGAAAAGAATCAAAAACGCAAGGTGAAGGCTGTTACGGATTTTGTGAGCTGTAACCTGCTGACATTAAGGGACAAAACGTTCACTGAGATTTTGGCATCTTCAGCTGTGAAACCATGAGTTTTCTGAAAGGGTCCTCTCAAATTCGGGCACACACAGGGTGAACGAGCAGGTTCAGCCTGCACCCTGATCTGCAGCCATCGTGATTAGTGGCCCGCTGGTCTGTACCAAACGTCACGAGTACTTTGGGTACTCTTCCCAGTAGAGGTTCCTCAGCTCTGAGGTGGCTCGTTTGGACAAGATCTGTGAAAACTGTGTTGGTTTAATCCAGCATGTCCATTTTAAGTTAATGTGGGTTGTTCTAAGAAATTAAGAAAATGGAAAAAGATGCTTCTTATTTACTTCCTAGTCCAGAGAGGCTGTGGTGTCTCCATCCTCGGAGATATTCCAAACCCAACTCTACACTATCCTGGCCTTTATGGCATTTCTCTGCTACACGTATGATCTTTCTTCTTCTTCCTGAGTGCCTGGTGACGTTTTCCCTCTGCTGCAAAAGGTGGAGCAGGGCTGATATTCCCATTTCATAGGGAAAACAGGAGATGGTTGGGATTGATGTTCAGAGGTTCATGGCCTCTGAACCCATGGCCCCTTTCCTACGGGCATCAGTGGAAGCCTGGCCTCTGAATTTCTCTGAATGTCTAAGTCTGAGAAACCTGTCCAAAAGTGTGCAGAAAATCAGTTGAAAAGCAGAGGTTTACATGCAGTCCTCTCGGTGCTGGGTAGTCCTAACTACAGGGACACCGAAGGTGTCCTGGTCCCCAAAGACAAAGCCACCTGGTGACAACAGGCTAAGAAGTGTTGCCTCAACCCCTCTCCAGGGTTCCCACCACCAGCCACGAGCGGTTGGGACAGAAAGGAGATGGCCCTTTCAGAGGGGCTAACATCATATTACATCCCTTGCAGATAATTTTTTTCTTAACAATGATCCACCATATCACGACATGTGTCCACACGTGTGTTGCCAAGAGCATCACAAGGGCGAAACCCATCCCATTTCTGATATATCCCTTCTGTCAGGGAGGTGGGCATGCAGCCCACCTATCTGTTATCTCACGCTACGTCTGAACCACCAGCTACAGGCTTCCCCAGTGAAGAGGAGAGCTTTCTGCAGCAAACAGTGCCAGCTTTGCAGGGATTTTCTGGTTTATCATTATTTTCTCCCGGGAGGGCAGGTTGGCTGCACGCTCCGGTGCTCTGTCACATGCCCGTTTCAGCCTTTAATCCTTACAGCAAACCTCACCCCCAGGGCTACACCACGGGAGATCGTGCAGGTTTTCTGCCCACAGCACCTCTCCCTCAGACCGTTTCGGCAGCTGGCTCCCAAAATTTGGGACAATCAGAGCCAGGAACAGGAGCTGGGACGCTGGGGCCCAAGTGTTGATGTGGCACGGAGCAGCACCGCGCCTGGCTCTGCGCAGCTGAGACAGAGAAAAAGGGAGGAAAACCAACTCCTGCCCTTTAAATCTGGACAAAACAGGTTTCTAATTAAAACAGCACTTAACCATTAGCACTGGGCGAGTGCAGCGCTGGTGGATGTTTGATGCAAACAGCGAGTTGGTTGAAACTCTCTCGTACTGGCTCCGTCTTTGTCCCTCGGTGCGCGGGGGAATGGGTGTGATCCGCCAGTAGGAGTGTCTGCAGCTAAGTAGGGGATTGAATTACCGAGCACTGCCGTTCCCTAGCTGACAAGGTAGCAGAACAGCAAACAAAAAGTGCCTTGAAACTAGCTCACCAAAGAGGAGAGAAAGTGCTGGGCGTGCGGAGAAGGGAGACCTGAGAGGATATCGGGCGCACTGCGAGGTAAGAGGCTTTTCTGCACCCCTCCTGCTTGTAGTGGGAAGGCCAGAAGGGTTTCATGACAGCTCTTGCTGGGTGGGAGAGCCAGAAAAAAAATTTTGAAGTATTTCACAACATAAAAAAGCGTTCCTGGTGGAAGCCTGGGTCTCTACTAAAAGCAATGAGCCCCCCAGATTTGCACCATGCCTGGTGCTGCTGCTGTGACCGTGTAGGCACCGAGTATCGGCCGTGGTTTGGAGGACACATGCTTCTCGTTGAGCTCTCTGCACCGAACAGCTTTGATTTCACCCAACGAGCAATTAACGGCATTTGGCTTTAACCCAGTTTGTTTCGCTTCTTGCTGCCATGGGGACTTGCCCGAAGCCCGTGTGATGTGGTTACGGGTCCGAGCAGCGCAAAAAAAACTTGCTGGAAGTCCTGACCCATGGGTCTTGCTGTAGCCTAATGGATAAATCTGCTAATGGCTGAACGCCGGGCTGTTTGCTCTACCAGTACAGATTGTTTTCTCTCCTTGTTCATTTGAGATGCAGATTGCTCTGAGATAAAACTGAGTTGTAATGGAGTTGAGCTGCAGGCTTACTTGCCAGTATTTTTCTTAGGCGTGTCTATTAAGAGCATAAATATTTAACAGAAAGGAGAACCGATATGAATTAGCATCCGTGGGAGGTTTGCGTTTGTTCAAGGCTGCCCTAGCACAGGTGTAAACAAATATTACAACAGCTGAGGCAAACTGGCCCCACCAGGGTAGCACTTAGTTGGTGAATCACCCAGGTGCTCTTTACGCACCGCGGCTAAATGGGTAGATTAAAGCTTGAAAAGTGGAGATTAGACAATCAGAGGGCATCAGCCTTCCGTGTTGCTGGAGTTTCACCATGCCTGCCTGTTTCCTTGTGTTCCTCTAGCAGGTAAGCCTGCCCTTCTCCTCCTCCAGCTCCCTTCCCACCAGCCTCATACCGTGATTTCCTAGGCAGGACTTGGTGGCAACACTTGTCAAGGTCCCCCAGCTGGGAGCAAAGGTTTTCTACTGTGACCACAAGTGGTGTCACCCTGGTCTCCTTCCTTCCCCTGTGTCCTGGGGCTCCTGGTTAGGTTGAGACAATGAATCTCTGCTCTTGACTGGCCAAGGATGCTGAAGATGCTCATTGTGTCTTTTGGTCTTTCTGGCTCACCTGCACGTGTTTTTCTGGACTTGAAGTGTGGTGGTTGTTACCTTTTCTGCCCTGGAGCCCCCAGGGAGGTATGGGATGTGTGGTACATGAAGGAGATGCACCATGAGCTCTGTGACTTCAGGCTGGATCTGTGCTGGGCACAGCCTGTTGGACCAGAAAGTTTTGATAAAGCTAAATATCTCACAGCCTGCTTTGATGCCGAGCTCTGAAATGCCCTGTGTGACAAAGAGGAACACAGGGCACTGTGAAGGCCTTTGTGCTACCTGCACCACCCCTGGAGAAGGAACGTGCCCCAATGAGCCCTTGTTACTCTCAAGGAATGGGCTCCTTGCAGCCTCCTGACTCTTGCTCAGTGACCGGCACAAATCCATGGGTTGGGCTTCCTGTCTGCCCTAAAAGCTGCTCTGCTATGTGTGATGTGTCCACCTGTGCAAGGAAAGTCTTTCACGCGGACACCCCACACCCAAAATATCTCAGCTCTGTCTCTCTTTTATTACCGCATACTCTTCAGCTTCTCTTCACCCCTCAGCCAAACACACCTTGTACAGTCACGAGGGGATATGTGCTCCTAAGACCCGTTAACACCTCTCCATGCTTTCCCTTTCCACATAAAACAACCCTGGAAAAGGTCTCTCTTGGACAATTATTCATTTCCATTGAGCGTTTTGGGTGCAAAAGGAATGCAGAAAAGGGCGAATGTTGTCCCCAAGTCTTTGGCATCCTTCGGTCTGAAGAGTCCTCTTATATGTAACGTTGAATTTTAGCACAGGCTCCAGTTGCCTTGATTTCCAAGAACCTTTGCTTGAAAAAGAAATCCTACCACTCGTTATCTGTCTTTTATCTGAGCCTATTCGTGCTTATCTGAGGCAGTGCTGGACAGACTCAAACTTGTCCTTACTTTACATCCATGTCAAAGGCATGTGGCACAGGGGATGCAAAATTGCACGGTTTTGCTCCATCCTGGGCATTTCCTGTGGAATGGGCTATTCAGAGCAGCCAGCCTCTCCTACCTAAAAATGTCCTTTTGCCATGCCCTGGAATGAAAGAATAGGTTGCTGGATAGCCCTTTATTTAAAACTGCTCTTACAAAAACAGACTAACAGAATAGGAAACGGGCGGCACTGGAAGTTGTGCTCTCTTTTGGGTGATTGAAGCTGTCGAGGTACCCACCTTCTCTTTGGGAGGCTGCCAGAGCCCGAATTACTGTCCTTTGCTGCAGCTTAGGCAGCAGCTCTCTGAGCCTGAGCAAATCTCACCCATCCCATCTTTCAGAGGCCTGATTTCCCTCTCAGCGCTCAGACAGACCTCCTGTTGGCAGCTCTGGTTGCAAAACCAGGTCCCGGGTGAATGACTCTTTCTAAAGCTCTTTGCAGCACTTGCAGGGATGTTTTATTCATTCGGCTTCATGCAGTTGCCACGCTGCTCTCTCAAAGCTGGCCTTCATTTCCAGCAAGATGGGACTGCAGAACCTCCTCGCGCTTGCGTGCTGAGGACCTGTGTGGGCTGGATTTCCCTTCTCACGCCAGATGAGTGCCAGACACACTCTGAACTCCCCTCTGGTTTCAGAGAAGCTTACAGGATAACGCCAGTGTGGGTGCTGCTGGGGTTCCCTTGAGAGAAGAGAAGAAACTCAATCTTATCTTGTATGCATATGTGTGTGCACATGTTTGTGTGCATTCTTGCAATAGGTAAAAAATTGTTGCGTGCAGTAGGCAAAAACATTAACTTTTAGACTTGGTTTGTGAAAAGGATGGTGTAGGTGGGCTCAGTTCTCGCTGACATACCTGGATCAGGGCCTTCAGACCTGGGAAATAAGCCAGGGTTTTGGGCACGGAGGATGGGGGCTGAGCTCCCACTCTCTGTGAGAGGTGAGGGACGGTGTGGGACACTGGGATCTCCACACAGAGGCTTCCCTTGTAGGCTGAGCTCCCCCTGACTGAGGTTCACCAGATCTGCCCCTAAACCCAACATCAGGAGGAGGGGAACACCCAGGGAGAGCTCTCAGACTCAAGCAGCTAAAATTGAGATATCCAAGTGGAGGTAGATGAATCCCATCCTTTCCTGGCCTTTCTCCTGGCTCTTTTAACCCCACACAGTGGCCTTTCTTCAGCGTCAGCTGGGAAAATGCTTTCTTTTGGGGGTCTCTTCCCAGCTGTCCTTACAGCTAGCTGTGTGCCTTGCCTCTACCTTACAGTTCCTGCATGCATCTGAGCTCCGGTGTTCCCTGCGGCTCAAAAAGCTCTTGTACACATAACCAAACACACGTCCTCCTCCCTGATGTCTCAGCTCTTGTTTTACTTACCTGCGGTCATTAGGTTTAACAACGCTCTGTTAAAATGCTGATGTGGGAGAGGATCATACCTTTTTTTTTTTCCTGGAGGCGGTGAGGAACAAGAAGTTTCTGACAATGCTGCTAACCGAGCCGCTTCTCTGGGAACCAGGAAGAGGAATTAAAATGGCCTCAGCTTTGTTTTCCTTCTGCGTGCATCTCTTTGCCCTCGCTGTGGCATGGAGCCCTGCCTTTGGACGCAGGGCTGGTCCCGAGCCAGCGATCGCTCCCTTTCACCAGGGCAGGAAGAGCTGAAAGAAAGGAGAGATTTGTTCGTCATGAATTGGCAGGCTTCTTGCCTGCCTTTCCCTGGGGATGGCTCTGTACCGTTACCGACTCAATAACCTCACGACAAGGAGCCAGGGGTGGAACGGATACCTCTGGAGCAGGCGTGGGTCCAGCTGCATTTTATTATTTGAAAATAATGCAGCTGGCACCGCACCAGGGGCAGCGCTGCTGCAAGGCACTTGCCTACAGCTTCCAGAAGCTGCTTGTGCTTGTGCCACTGCTCTTGCTCACAGCCAGATCCTCGGGGAGAGGTGGGTTTGCACTGAACGACTTCGGTGCAGGTCTCTGGGACTGATTTCCTGGGCTGTGAGTGCAGCACAGGCTCTGCTGCTGCTTCAGAAAGCGTTGGGTCTAACAGAGCTGCCCTCTCCCCGGAGAGCTGCTGGTGAGCCTGCCGCTTCCACAGACAGCCTGGAGAAGAAGGACTTGATGGGACAGCACTCGGTCAAGAGCAGCAGGGGTAGGACACCAAGGCAAGCACCGCCAGCCTCTGTGTTTAGCCAATTTGCTCTTCTTTTTCATGTCAGCCTCTGCTGAGCATCTGTCTCTCTGCTCAGTATGATGAGCGTGGAAACTCCATCTGTGTGACCCGGGGGCTGTGGCTGGTGTATGGATTTCTATTGACTTGTCACTACGTTGCTGTTATGTTGTTGAGAAGTTTGCAGAGACAGTGCATCTTCTACCCTTCCCAGGGAAAATAGATGTTAACATTTTAGCACGAGGATTCTGAAATAGCAGCAGTTTGGGAAAATCTGCTCCCACGAATCAGTTTCCTAAGACCATCTGCTTGAAGATCAGGCTGCTGGAAAGCTACCAGCAGTCAGATGAATAGAGAGAACAAAGGAGGTCATAAAGGGAGGTGTGGAGAGATGAGCAAGGCTTTCTGGATGGAGCAATGTGTTGAGCTAGTATTTATGGCAGGTGGAAATGAGGCAGCTGCAGAGACTAGTCAAAGTCAGAGCAGATAAACTGTGGTTTGCTGGCCCTCCTAAGTCAGATGTCCTCCAAGGAATCTGAAGAGGCAGATGAGGTACAGATTGAGGGCTGCTGCAGCTGGGAAGGTGGTTATTGCCCAGTAAAACATGACTTTTGCTCCTTCCTTTTAAGCAATCGTAAGTTTTGGAGAATTGGTGCAAAGCCCATCTGCCTGTGGCTTATGAGGGGCTGAAAGGTGAGGGCTCACAGGACCAGTGAGTTCCTAGGAAAGATTGTGCAAGCTACAAAGTAAGGCAGAAACATCAGAAATGGACAGGAGGTGAAAGCACAGGTTATAGAGAGAGATGCTGAGCCAAAGGTCTGCATCTTGGTAATGCCCTGGGACAGTGTTTGGAGATTGTGTCTCTTGAACCCTGGAAATTCACATTGTGGCTGTGTCCTGGGGAGACTGGTCATCTTCTGTCAGCCAGAGAAAACTGCTTATTGCTCATTCAGAACCTGAGAAGTAACTTAGTTAGGTGGATCCAGGTTTGTGCATCCTTTACAGAGAATATAAAGGGAATACAAACCTCCCCTGGGAAGGTTTCTTCTTAATCCTAGCTCATCGTGCCCAACACACCAGCCCCAGTTTGGATCCATCTTACTTCAGACTGAAAAAGCCCTCTGACCCCTTTTGTAATCTACCTGGATGTTTCTCTAGCAAGGTTAGGGGATCTTTTTGGATCCATGGAGGTGGCTGGGTGAATCCCTGAAGCATGAGGACCATGCATGAAGGAGGGGCAGAACCTGCGGGGGCCTCCTGCTCCCAGGCTGTGAGGATCAGAGCCCAGTGAGCACACCCTGGCCATTTAGCCGTCTCATTTCAAAGACATTAAGTAAAGCCAAGCCTGCCAGCTTCCCTAATAAGCTGTTCCAATGTTTAATTGCCCACCGTGATCAGAAATAGCATCTTATTTCAAGGCTTCTTTTACGTAATTTTAGCTGCCAGGCAACAGCTCTTTCCAAGAGGGCTGAAGTGCTCTCTGTGGTCAGCATCTGTGCAGAGCCCTCTCCTTGGCATGTTGGCCACACAGAGCTCCCGAACCTGGACCTCAAGGGGTCTAGAGGAGGAGGGTGCTCTGAGATGTGTTTTTTTCTTCTTTTGCCACCCCCTAAAGCACATCTCCCATCCTCTGCCTCATCACCACGTCCAGCATGGGTGATGAGATTCAGCCCCTCTGACTGCAGCCCTCCTGTGTTTATGTGAGAGGATCGGAGCTGTCACCAGCACACCCATGTACCTGGGGATATTATACCTTGTGGGCATTGTCAATTACAGGAATTTTGCCTTCCTGCTGAAAAGTTGGAGGAGGATATTACACGAGTGCCTATGTGATGGCATCAAAGAGAAGACGAACTCCATGGCCGAGCCTCCCACCAGTCATTTCCATGTGAGATGGAAAGCCACTTTTTCTCCTTCTCCAACAGGAAAATAGGTAGTTCCCCACTGATTTTAATTACTTGGGGCAAAACAAGAGCAAATTCATGCCCTCTGTGCAAACAAAATTGACACCTCCTTCAGCCCAGACACGCAGCTATAGTGCAGACAACGTAAGCAATTGGACAGCCCTGCTTTACCTCATCTAATGCCAGCCCAAGTATTCCCAATAATTAGGCCTTTCAGCCTGGAAGGGCTGGAGCCACAGCTGCTTCCTATTTTCCCGAAGCTGTACAGAGCATTAGTCATCTCACTGGGGTTTTTTTATTGCCGTGACTGCAGCCGAGTAAGTGCACCGCCAAAATCCAGACAAGCCAAATCAGGATTAATTCGGAACGTACTCCGGGAGCTTGAAATCATCTCCTATCCCCCCTCTGAGCCCCTGTTCTCCCTCCCCACCCAAACAGCTCCAGTCTGCCTGAAGAAATGTCCTCCTCCTAAGCCTGCTTTCTCCACACGTACCAGGTTGTCCAAACGAAGCAGTGATTGCTGGCACTTCACTCCAATTGTTATTTATTAACCAATCTTGGGAATGACCTTGACTCTTAATTAGTCATCTAGTCCTTCTTGAAGGCAAAGCTTTTCCCCCTGGTTATAGAGGGGATGGGGATCAGTTACCAAGCAGAAGCATTGCTCTGATCTTGGCAGGATGTGAAGAAGAGCACGTATGAAGGAGACCCATCTACCCTCACCCACCAGCTTTGTAACTTAGCATGCCACCTCCGTTTGGTCTTTGGGTCCCCTGCCCTCACCAAGCAGAAGCATTTGCTCTTTCCAGTTTCATTTATAACATCTTAACCAAGCAGCGATGACCCAGCAAAGCAGCTCTGAGCCAGCATTTGTCTTTGCCATGCAGTGATCTCTGCTCTTTCCTCTCAGCCTGCACTGAAGGTGTGAGTTTGTCTCCTTTTTCTGAGGCTGCAAGAATCTGTGGAAATGGTGAAAATAGGGTAGCTGGCCCTGGAGGTGGAAATTGGATAGCTGCATGCTACTAATCCGCTTCACCTCCACATCACAGAGCTACAGCTGCTTTAGTGCCTCTCTTCCCCCTTAACAGGTAAATCTGTGTCTGTGAAGGAGGAAGCAAATAGCTTCCATAACCAGATTTTTTCAGTGAATTCCTGCCCCAGAGGCAGTTCACTCCACACTTCACCTAGTGCTGGGCAGAACCATTTTGGCTGAGATAGGAACCGACCTGTACATCACTGTTCAAACCCCATGGTGAGCCCACTCCTTGTAAAGTTTCTTTTTAAATTAGAAAAGTTTCTGTCCTTCCTGCTTTCAGCACAGATGAGAAGTCTTTACTCCATTAATACTGGATCTTGTGTCTGGGCAGGAGTTGAATTATGGGACCATCTGATTAAAAACCCACATTAAATCTTTATTGAGATGAGCTGTCTGATTATAGAAGTCATATTCCTATTATTTCTAACTTGGCCACCAGCCGGAAGAAGCTGGAAAGTCCAAAGACACAGCTGACCTTGTCTGCTTCACACTTCAACCATTAAATGACTCAGGAGGAGGGGAGGGACAGCATTTCCCAGAAAAACAGGACCAAAGTTAACATGCAGGTGCCTGAAAAAGGAGCCCCAGGAGCAGAGGAGATTGAAGATCCCCATTTTGAGTCAAAGATGTTCCGATGGGCATCAATAAGGCATTTCTGGCTTTAGGAGGGTTTTGTCCAGCGTGGTTTTCTGAGCTCAGAGGAGTCTCAGGATCCTTTGAGTTAACTTTTCAGATGGGAGAGGATGGGATGCTGGGAGAAGCAGGGCGCCAGCTGTGTTTCACAGCCGGCCAGCTGCTGTTTTCCTGTTGTTAGGAGGCGAGCAGGACGCCTGCTGCCTTCCACAGGGAGCAACATCAGATTTACTAAAAGATTTCAGCCCCCGAATGCTCCCTGACATACAAACCTCTGTACTGGCTTTGCTTTCAATTGTTTTGGTGCTAGACTGGATGGAAAAAACATAAACAAATGGAAAAGATAGCTAAAGGAAGGTGGCTTGTTTTTTCTTCTTCACTTGTTTTTTTCTTCGATAGGGGCTTTTTGAATGCTATTCTGAAATGAAAGGATGGTCTTTTGGTTAAAGAGCTGATCTGGGACCTTGCTTCTGGCCTTAGCTCCTGGCAGCCACAGACTCCACAGTAGGTGAGTCAGGACTGCATTCCCAAAAGTGTCTAGCTCCAACTTAGACAGTGAAATATCTTCCCGGATCTGGCTTTCAATATACGTGGGTCTCAATTACCTTTCTGGGAATCCAGATGAAAAATGTCTTTATTCTTCTTGCTGTTTGTGCTCTTGCCTGGAAGCTATTTGGAGGGAGCTGAAAGGGAGCTGAAGGTTGCTGAATGCTCCTGGTAGATGCGTGAGGCCACGTGGACTCAATCTTCTACAATCCTTCAGATACATCCATGTCCAAGGAGTGAGTGTTGCTGACTCCTGCTTGGTTAGCAGAGAGGTGCTGGGGCTGTGCTCGCACCTCTCCTCGAGGTAGCTGCTTCCCTCCACTGCCTGGGCATGGAGTCAGGCTCTGGGCTGTGGTAAATCTGGACGGACCAACCTTAAAACAGCAAATTTTGTCCTCTTAATTAAGCGAAAACTCTTCAGGAGGAGGATGATGGCTTCTAATGACTTACTGGTGACAAGTGCAGCGTATCTCCCCGTGCTTTTGTAATGCAGGCAATAAACATGCCTTCTGGCATGAGCTCACCCATCTTTGTTCTTTTGTTCCTCGGAAGAAGCTTCTTTTGTGGCTTTGTGTGGTGGCTTCTTTTGTTTTTTCACCTTATTGTGGCTCAGGTATTGTGCCAGCTTCACACAGAAATGTCACCGTTCCTTCTTGTAGGCACTTTCCTGTGAAGGATCAGAGGAGCACAGGGGAGGCCGCGGCCTACGGGCAGTGCCGCCATGTCACCCAGAGGCGGAAAAGAAAATGCAGTCAATCAAGTTGTTGGTGTTTTTTTTTTTAACACAGTACAATAGTTCAGTCTGTCATGAGCAAATGCAAATCAGGGTTGAGGGCACTTGTAAAGCAAATGAATGCAAAATGCAGAAATCAGTGAGCCATGCTTTCTCTCCAAGCTGGGTTTGTGAGCAGGACTGACTCACACGGGATGGGCTGATGTGGGTGCTGCCCCGCCACAATCACAGCCTGTCCTGTGGTCACTGCAGCTGAGATAAATGGATCTGGAGGCACCTGCTGTGCCCCCACGGGCCAGCCAGCACTGCTAGGACATAACCCAGTGCTTTCATGTACACTGCTTGCGATCTGCTTCAGGAGGCTGCCCTGTAAATGCTTGGGTTCAGAAGTTGCTTCTTGAACAAAAACGTCAGCCATCCAGGCAGAGGGAGCAGGGAACATAGCTAAGGGGAGTCCTTCTTTATTTTCACAGCTGGCAGATAGGATAGAGGATGAATGGGAGACCTTCACCCATCAGAATGGTATTCAGAGATACTCAAACCATCTCAAATGTTCCCAGATACCTTTGTGTGGGTAGCTGAGCCCCACAACTTTGCCCTGCAGGTATCAGAGCCTGGGGAGCCACTTGGCTATGCATAACATAGATGTTTGGGTCATCAGCTGAATCACTCCCTATGCTCTGCTGACTGCACTGGCTCACTTGGGCCCTAAAGGAGATGAAAGCCTGGTGCCCTACCTTGCAGATAGCTTAATTTAGACCTGCATCTCCTCCTGAACTGGAAGGACTTAATTCCTTAGACCACCAGTGACACGGGGTAACTGACCTGCTACCCCTTGTGCCACAGTGTGAGCAGAGCAGTGCTGATGTCAGGTTCAACACCTTGCTGAATCCTTTCCACCTATGCGAACAGGGGAAAAGCAATCCCATGCCAATCAATGGTATCCTACGCAGGCTTTTATGGGCAGTGTTCCCATGCTTTGTTGGAGCCCTATGAGCATATACACACTGGGAATGGGACTTCATCCCACCTAATTGTTGATATTTGTATCTGTGTTGGGCTGTACTCTCTTCATAGTCAGCAGAGGGTGAGGGACAGAGACATTTCAAGCTAGGATTATCTCTACTAAACCTCCGCTGACTGTAAGAGAAAGCCATCTGACTAACGCACTTACTGATGTATCCAATACTGTAATTATTTTTGTTTTTCTTTTTCTTTTCCCTTTTAGCTCAGAGCGCAGGATGGCAGACGGTGACACAAATCTTCCACCTATTGAGAGAAGGCTGGGACTGCAGATATGGGGCATAGAGGTACGACAACACGGCAATGATGTCATATATCTTGTGTGTGTTTCAAGGAAAATATTCTTGAAGTAATCTGGGTAGGAAAAGAGGGTCTTACAGATAAGATACAGCAGTGGGAAACAGGAAACCCAGCTTCTCCCTATGCTACTTTCAGTATGTTGTTGCTTGGTGCTTTGCTGTTCCTCCTCTGTAAAACAAGGGTGATATTGACTAACAAAACATGAATTTGGTGGGTCTGACAGTGTTCCTCCAGCACTGGAGTCTTTCTTAGTCCTTTTGGGGAACAAATGCAAGGCTGTTTTAGTACGCTAAAAATGAATTACTTGTTTCACCAGGAAGAGGGATTATGCATGAGTAGTCTTAGTTTATACCAGCAGTGTGGCAGCTGCCATGGTGAAGGCACACATTTTTGCAGTGAAGAAATCCTTTGGAGTCTGTTTCCGTCTTATCCTTAGCTTTCCCACTATGACTGGTGGGATACTACAGCCTGCAAAACCACCTTCTGCTTGGGGTGGTCTTTGCTTGTAGTTTGGAGCCAGGCTGTGCTCAGTTTTGCTTTGTTCTTGCAGGATGTTCCCCTGCAACAAGAGGGGGCATAAAATGAGGTGCATAGACAGCCTAGGGGAGAAGAGGAAAGGGTCTTCAGACAGTGGTGGCCCTCTGCAAATCCCAGCCAAGGTCCCAATGCCACAGGGTCTTTGCCTTTCCATTTCTCTGCAAAGCATTGTACCAAGCTGTTTGCTAGAGGATCTGTAATTAGAGACATATCGGTTCATGAGGGTCAGGTTGGTATGCAGGGAAACAAGTCAGGCCACCAAAAAAATGCACGTCTCTAATTCCAGGGAACCACAGAGTCAGTTCCAGCCCAGGAACTTGGTGTGTACTAGTGGGTGGCACACACAGCCACCTACGCTGGGCAGGCATAGCTGGTCAATTGTGCACTTGTACCAGAAGCAACGTGCTATTAAGGGTCTGGAGGGTTGAAAGACACATCAGTGTCCATCTTTTATCACCACTGCTAGTTGCTCTGAATCCCAAACAAAGTGGTTATCCTAACAAAGCTCTGAAAATTATCCTTGAATTTTATGGGTACTGATTATAAGCCGTGCCCTAGAACTAAATGTAGGATGAGATGTATGCAATCACCTGGGAAGTTCCCCACAAATGCAAGCCCTGGAGCACTTCAGCATGACCTCTAGGCCTTCTTGCCTTAGGCCTACAGGATTGCAAAGGGGAAAGGAGAGGTAAAAATATATATACTTGTCAATCTAGGCAAGCAGCATTTTCATTTACTCCTTCTTACCCCTTAGTATGTTTGGAATTTCCCCCAGAATTGGCTTTTCCCAGCCCACAGGCACAGCTCTGATTCTTCCTTTTCCAAACCCTCATTGTCACCTTGGTGTTTCATGATCAATGACCCACATGCTCGTTGTCTTACAGAATATGAAGATGGTTCCTGTACCTGAAAAAGCTTATGGGACTTTTTTTGAAGGGGACTGTTACATAATTCTGCACGTAAGTAAGGCAGACATTAATCTCTTTGACAAGCAACAGGTTCAACGTTGTTCCTTTGGTTCCAGCTGATGCTGGACAGTAGAGGGGCTCTGCAGCCCTTCTCCCTCTCCCCCTTAGGAGATCTCCCAAATTAGATTCAGAACTGCTTGCAACCAGTTGTACCCAAGCTAGCCAGAAGCACAAGGAACTTCTGAGAATTAACCCTACTGTTGGGTTGTGCAAAGTGCCTGGAGCTCTGCAGGAGGACAATGTGCTGCACTGTGCTCCCAGACTTCCTTCCAAATCTCTTCAACTGTGAAGAGCAGTCCAGGCCCCATTGCATCAAACAACATCCACATGATGGAACCTCAAATTTTCCATTTCCTGGGCCTGAGTGTGCCTTCATCAGTCAAGAGACAGAAAAGCCTCCACTATTCCATGATAACCAAATGCATATTCACTATACATCTGGCTGGGAAAGCAGGCTGTGATAACAATCCACAATGAGTCACCTGCACTAATTCACCATGCACATCCTTTTATGGTACCTTTTGAGTGCTTTGGGGAATGGATTTGGTAGCAGCCACCCAAAGACATGCTTAGACCATCCTTGCAAGGGGCTGAATATAATCACTATAGATTTTGATGCTCACAGGCTCAGCTTTTGTTGCAATAGCTTCCCCAGGTAGAAAAGCCCTTAATCAATCCACGACTCCCCTTCCCACCTGCAGATAAGAGGGTAAAAATATTCATCTTTGCGTTCTGCATCTTGACTGGATGCTCTCCAAACAAAAATTGTCTTCAGGACAATGGGACTTTGATCATCTTCAATAGCAGTGTATTAAACTGAGTGATTTTGCCACAAATTAATCAGCTGTGCCTAGAGGAACTGAATTGTATTTTATTCAAGTTCTTCTAGTGTTTTACACCGCGGTATCACTGCACAAAGCAAATAAACAGAACTTAGTGTCAAATCGAGTTTATAAAATGAGCTTTTATTATCTTTCCCAGGCATGGATGATAGGATTTAACACAGTAGGTGCTGAAAAATAACTGGCGCAAGTCACATAACAGTAAGCACACCTGTTCTCAGATCGCTTGTCTTTTCTTTCTAGGCTATTGGGTTTTTCTGTAATAAGATGAATCACAGCATGCACACACAGGCTCAGCTTCCTTTGGAGTTATGTCTCTTTTGCAAGTCAGCAGGAATTCACAGGCAGTTGGTGCTACTATATAGTGCTATATGAGAAAGAGAAAAGTGGAGAAAGGATAGTATCTCCAGGCAAATAAATAGCAGTGCATATTACTCTTTTTATTTAAATGATTTATGAGAAAAATGTCCTTTAAGTTTTAATATCAAACTCTACAAAAGTAGGACGGGTCAAACACACACAGTTTTGGACTTTCACAGGTGCTCAGTTTTCTTTGATAGCAAGAGTCATAAAAATATATATGACAGCAACCTGCTTCAGTAAAATATATACACAAACCCCATTCTCCTGAATTAAGTCCCTGGCTCCAGGCCAAGCTCCTGTGGAACATCGAAGGGCTCCATCCCATCTCCCCTTGCCCAGCAACATTATTTGCTCCAGATATCTGGACTTTGCCCTCATCTTTCTCGCCTCTTCCAGAGCAAAAGAACATCTCGTGGCACGGCTGTGGATTTGCATTATTGGATTGGCAAGGATTCAACTCAGGATGAACAAGGTGCCGCGGCCATGTATGTCACCCAGCTGGACACTGCGCTCAGGGGAAACCCCGTGCAGCACCGGGAAGTGCAGGGACACGAGTCTGAGACCTTCCAAAGCTATTTCCGCAATGGCATTATGTGAGTAGCATGAAAGGCTTTGCAGCATCATCATGGTCCCTGGAGCTTTCTCTGCTTCCCTCTGTCTCAGGCATCAACGTTTCAAAAATGGAGCACTGGGGTAGTTCAAAATTCAGAGGGAAAACTTCCCATTTTGAAAAAATTAATTGTAAGCATTGGGACTGGGCCCATGTCATTCTGATCTACCGACTCTTTTCCCAGATATTTGCTGTAAAAGGTTTTTAACCTCCCTTTTGTTCACTGTAAGGTCTTCCTTCCTCTCCTCTGCACACTTTAGATTAATATATCCATCCACAGCACTTTAAACTAATAGCCACGTTGAGGAGAAGTGTTGATTTGGCTCACGCTGGGAGTAATTTTCCTGCAGAGGAAGCAAAGATTGACTCTCTGAACTAAGCCGTCTAAAAGATAGTATTGAGTCCAACCCTGTGGTGTTGAGTCCAAACCTGTGGTCATGACTCCCTCTGGGGTCTTTGGAAGGTGACTCCGAAAGACGTCCTCCAGGAGGACCTTTGCTGGCAGTAAGTGGCCAGTGAAGCAGTTCCTCACTTTTAAACAGCTGAAGAAAACCCAGATGAAAGCCCATCTTCAGACTCTATCCTGTATTACTTTTCATATCTTGTTATTGTACCTCTCTACATCCTCTCATGAGTTTCTTCAGGACTTTTCTGAAACAGAAGAGTGCTTTTATGCTCATTTTAAAGATGAGTAAAGGGCAACGAAGGACTAAAATTCAGACCTTCAAAAGCATTTGGGTATAGAAGTCTATTTGGAAACCTATCTGGCCCTGAAATCAGTATGAGTTAGACTTCATCTTGGCCTAAACCACACACATAAGGTCAAGCAGGAAGTCTGAGTCAGAATGAGAAATTAAAACAGGCTCTTTCCACACCTTGGCAGGTAGAATAATCAGCAGAGAATCCTTCTGTGGATTCACAGAACTGTGCCAAACAAGTCTAAACCACTGTGAATCACTCGCAAGCCTGACCACATTTGCCAGTCTTTTCCAAGCTATAATAAAACAGACTTATTTTCCACATAGCAAAGCTATAAAACTCTCAACAATCACCTCTCTTTCCCACAAATGGCAATTAGATAGCTTCAACTGTTACTTTAAGGCCTGAATTACGAACATTGGGTTAGATTTTTAGAATGGACTAGGATATGTGGAAAGGGGTTAGACTTGTCCAAAAAAACTGTTAAAATTTTCCGGGACTTCTCTGGGGTGCTGTGTGCTCTCATGATGGGATTGTGTCTTCCTTGCAAAGTTACAGAGGGAGGGAAGGATGGCATCATGTAGTGAGGCAATTACAGTGCTAACAGCAGCTATTGCAAAGTGTGTGTTCAAGGATGGAAGGACAACAAAATCGGTAAATTAAATCTGAGAGAAAGATGGTGTCCTGTATCCCTTTACAATAGCATTTTGTTCTGCTTATGGCAACAACTTTCCATCTGAGCTGCTTTAAACAGAATACCTATTTTGAATAAAAAAAAAAAAAATAGCAAAAAAAATATATTGTCTGCAAAACATGGCTCATTTTTTATTTGACCATTTATGGATGCACAACAGCAACACCCACACAAGGTGGATGGTCACTGTGAGGAGCTGTTGTCTGACCAGAGACCATGAACAGTAGCGTGAGGCAACACAGCACCATTTGACACTCCTTTTTTAGGACTTTGAGATATTAGCTCTATATTTTTTTTACTTGTCAAGAAAAGCTTGAGATGTTCTCAGAGGATAGAGGGGACTTTTTCTAACCAACTCTAACTCTTTATTCCTTGTTGCACTACAGCTACAAGAAGGGAGGAGTGGCTTCAGGATTTAAGCATGTGGAGACCAATATGTACAACATCAAACGTCTTCTTCATGTCAAGGGGAAGAAGCATGTGACAGCCACGGAAGTAAGCACGGGAGCTCCTCTCCTTATGGATCATTTCTCCTTGCCTTCCCTCCTACACCCATATTCTATCAGGTCTGCCTGCTCGATAGCTCTTTTCTGGTCAAGCATCCTCACTGGGGTTTGGTATAATCCCGAGAAAAGCCATTTGGCTCAGTGCTAGAAAAATGAGCCTGTCGTTGCAGACCATTTTTTACATCCCCAGGGCAGTTTCTCCATGCCTGTGACTTGTCTCCTGCAGCTCTCCTTGTCCCCTCTATTCACCAAGCCTTCTCATTTCCTCACAACAAACAGGTAGCACTTTCCTGGGACAGTTTCAATAAGGGCGATGTGTTCTTACTGGACCTTGGGAAAGTGCTGATCCAGTGGAATGGACCCAACTGCAACATTGCTGAGAAATCCAGGGTGAGTACAGGCAAAAGCCCTGTGGTTTGTTAGAGGTATTTTTTTGATCACAGGGTGGGAAAGAAAAGAAAAAAAAAAGAGAGAGAGACACACATACAGTGCTCAGTGTCTGTGAAGACAGAAACAGTGCTCAGTGTTTGCACAGTGAGAATCTAATTAAAACCAGGAACACAGAGCTGAACAGAGAAAATCCTGGTAAATCTTCTACTTCCTCATCCACTGATATCCACTGTTCCAGAAAGGCATCCAGCTCCCTCTGGGGAGGTCCATCCAGCCCTCTGTGCACTGTAGTTTGTGTGACGTAGGAATAAAAAGTCAGTAGCACCAGTAGATTTAACTGCAATAACTACCCCAGGAGTGGTTGAATTTCAATTTATTTTTTACATCACAGGGAATTCCAGCTTGGTCAGTATGAGACAAGCAGGAATGCATGAACCAGGTTTTGATAGGTCAGATCCCTATTTATAAAGGCATTTTACAAAGAGGTCATTAATCCTTATTTTACTGATAGAGGAACTGTGATATCGAGATGTAATAAGCCAGATTTTTCTACAGGTCATTAACAAAGCTGATGGTTGTAATTATACACATTAAAAGGCGAGTAGGACTGCTCTTCACATAATGGCACGTGATGATCTGGGGTTGGGGGAGACCTCACAGGGAAGGCAGTTGTCCAGGGCATGATGGGTTGAGATGAAGATCCAACAGAGGGTGAGACAGAGAGGAAAGGGAACAAGACAGAGGGAAGACTAGAAGAACAGGTTCATCTCAGGCCTGACGATCAAACAGGTCATTTCCTAGGTCTAACAGAGATGTCTCCCTTTAAAATCTGTTGTGGTAAGAGTCACGGGAGTGAAAAAAAAAAAATGTGGAAGATGGAAATAATTTGTTTGGCATTTCACACTTTTTTCAGATAAAACATCCATGTTTTTCAAATACTTGAAACCTTTAAATGTAAAATGTCACCACAGAGCATCCAGGGTCCTACAGCTCTATAGCATCCAGCCTCGTTATCCTCAGCACATGTGTCTCTCTCCCAGAACATCTCAGGATTATTGGACTTGCTTGTGTACTGTCACACATAAGCAATGCCCGCTGTGGCTACTGCATGTCTGTACTAAGCAGTATCTTTCTGAGACTGAGTTAATAAACAGGCATAAAGGAGAAATCCCCATTTTTAAATAGTAAAATCTGGCGGACACTAGCATCTTTGGAGAGCTGTGGTAATCTGGCGTAGACAACGAGTACTCGGTCATTGCTCTAGGTCTGACACAATGCTTGCTGAATTTATTGTATGGACCGGGATTAATCCCCTGATGATCCTTGTGCAGGGCCTCGCGTTGGCTCGTAGCATCAGGGACAGTGAAAGAGGCGGCCGCGCTCAGATTGGCATCATTGACAACGAGAAAGACTCCCCAGACCTCCTAAAGATCATGAAGATGGTGCTGGGGGAGAGGCGTGGGGAGCTCCGAGATGCCATCCCGGACACGAAAGCAGATGAATTGCAGAAAGCAAATGTCAGGCTCTACCAGTAAGTCTGGGGCTGGGCCTCCAAACCCCATCCCTTGCCACAGCAGGCACTGTGCAGCCTGACCCTACTCATTAACTCTGCCTTTCAGTGTCTACGAGAAGGACAATGACCTGGTGGTACAGGAGATAGCCACTCGGCCCCTGACACAGGACCTGCTCCAGCACGAGGTGAAAGACATGAGCCTTAATAGCAATAAAAAGTGGTTCTCTTTATTTTCCGCTGAGCACCTGTTTCTATAGAATAATTCATTTCCTGGAAATTAACAGCCCTTCTGTCCTAGATTAACAGTGTCCTTCCCAAACAAGACAGCTTAGCCTCTGCCTACAGCTTCAGTGGCCAGAGGCAGGCAGTGAAACAGGTTGAAGCTGCTCTAACAAGAGATGGCAAACCCACCCTGCCAGCCAAGGACAGTGTTACCTTGGCAATCATAATAAAAGGAGAGTCAAAGCTGGAGGCCAGGAATGAATTCCAGATGGAAACAAGGCTTCTTAATATCTGATGTTCTGCTACAACTCTCCATCTGCAGCATTCAGAGCAAATTAACACTGTTCAAAAATCATGAATTTAGATATATATTCATGCTGTAGCAAGTGACTAGTCTAAATCACATTCCCCCAGCCTGAAAAACAAGAAGCCTTTGGTCTCACAGTGGATTGTCACTTTGGACCACCAGCTCTCTGCAGAGGAGGCAGGCTGCCTGGCAGCCATCTCATCCTGCTGGGGTTCAGGATCCTGGTGCAATGCTTTTAGCTTCATACTGGGGACATGTAATAGTCATGAAGAAGAGGTCTAGGGTTGATGGTACTTGTTAGCCCAATTTTGAACCAGTAAATCCATCCTGTGTTACCTCTACTAATGGTTTACCAACATTAAAACTCTGGAAGGTGATGAAATAAGCTAGAGCTACCTCTAATCTAGGTCTTCAGGAAGAATCCAACTTGGGTAGGCTACAAGTGAGGATCTTTGCCTGAAGAGATCTTTTTACATATATTTTTTGGTTTCTTCTCAGGACTGCTACATTTTAGACCAAGGTGGCTATAAGATTTATGTCTGGAGAGGAAAAGCCTCCAACCAGGAAGAGAAAAAAGCAGCCTTCACTCGAGCTGTGGTGAGTAGTGCAAACAATGTCGTGGGAGGTTAACTAAGCACTAATCTAGATCTGACCACTAATTACAATTAAGAATAGGTCTTGAGGAGCTGGCCTGGGTAATAACAGAGAAAGAACTTCTAAGGGAGGTGCGATGACATAATGTAAAATGGTTATTCAGCAAATCTCACTAAGGACTCTCACTGAGAGTACGAAGAAATTGGTTAAGGACAAGAAAATGTAAAAGAATAAATGCCATGTTACACAGTAACTGGTAGACTTGTGGAATTTGTTGCTTCAAGAAATGGTGCAGGCAGAGAGGATCAGCAGGGCTGAAAAGGGATTAGGCCAATTCATGGTCAACGGGCCCATAAACAGATATTGAAGGAGGAGGCTCTTACAGCCTCTGTAACATCCATGACCCCATATTGTGAATATTAGAGAGAACAAAGGGATCACATTGCAGATAGCTACAAGGCTCACATGTTTTAGCTGAACAATATCTTTTACTGCCACTGTCCAAGGCAGCACGGATCACTGCTCTGAACCAGAAAGGCATGTCTTGTGTCCCCAACCAAGTGTAATACTTCTGAGCAAGTCAATGGGGAACTCAATTACTTGGGCTCTCTGAAAAAAACAGACTTGATATTAAGTGCTATAGGCCTCAATCCCAAGTCCATTACAGGCAACAAGTATTTTTCGGAGTGTCAATAGTCCCATGTGACTTTGAAGCTGGCACAGGGCTCTTCCACTTGGTAAAAAGAGATCTGTTATTAACCGTTACTAACTCAGATCAGTCAACCTGCAGAAAAACTACAGCTTCTGTTAAGGTAGAGCACTCCAGCATAGCACACAGGTGCCTATGCTACTCCTTCAAATAAGCTGCCACACAGTCATTTTCCAGCAGAACATGCCTCAACACTTCTATTCAGACAGAGTTCGCCTCATGGGAGCCTGAGTGTGTAAGGCATTTGGTAGTTTTACATGGTAGTTGGCAGATGGAAATGAAGTCTACAAGGGAATTTAACTTTTAATTCATCTATTGACTTACGTGAAGACCATAAATGGGCTCATTTTCAATGAGATCTTACCCGGAGATACTGAACCTCAATGGCCCCACCTTCAGTGAGATCCTACCTGAGATACCCAACTTCAATAACAATTACACCTATTGTCCCAAGGAAGAAAAGCTTAGATGAACTTTGACTTAAAACTTATCTCACAATCCTCTGTGCTCCTTTCAAAAGCTTAACCCAGATGCTTTTTATAGGCAATCAGCTCTGCAAATTCTGGCCCTGAGCTACAAATGTAGAACAACAGATATCTCTTACTTTCAGCGTGGCAGGTGGGAGGGATGGGAAGACCATCTGCTCTGCTTTTCCCTGGGGGTAGTATGTGGCTGCGGTATTTACAGCAGAAGATGAATGCTCAGAAAGCCCACATTCAGGCTCCTTCCCTGAAACATGGCTGTCAGCATTGTACCTCCAGGTCATCCTGGAGTCTGCCGAGATAAACATGAGAGCAGTTCTCAAAAACCAAGCAATGACTTTGACATTGTGGCAGAACACAGATCGTTTTTGTCCTTACCCCATTGTATCAAGCACCTCTGTTGAAGCACTCTTTTAACTCAATAGCTGCTCTATTTCAAATAAATAATATTTTTTTTCAGGAAAATAAAATTAAAAAAAAAAAACAGATTTATGAGAGTTTTACCCCCTTCAGAATATGTGTCACACTCTGGGGTATGTAACTGCCTCCAGCATACATGCCCTCTACCATGCTAAAGGGAGGACAGGATCCCTGTTTCAGCGAGGGTCTTTTTGGCACAAAAGTAAGTTGAACTAGGCACTCAGGTCATGGGCACATGCCATCACTGTTCTCTCCACCTCCACTCACGGATCTATGACCAGAAGCTCTCCAAAGAGCTGAATGAGATAGAAGGAGGCTGTGCATTAGACCTATTGAGTTAGATTTTCTTCAGGACTTAAATGCTATGCAGAAATTAAGTTTAGGATATGATCCAGCTGGCCGACCTCTAAATTTGTAGACATCTGCATAAGTCCAAATGCAAGTATCTTCATCTTGGGGTGTATCCTGCCCTTGGTTACGCTGCTGTGTTCAGCTGCAGGTGGAAGTTTGCTTTTGGGGCTGGTTTAGGCCACTTCTTCTTCCCATGTCCATGAGAACTGTGGTGTGTCCCCACTAATGCCCCTTTTCTACCCCATTAGGGTTTTATCCAGGCCAAAGGCTACTCTCCTTCTACCAACATTGAAGTGATCAATGATGGTGCAGAGTCAGCCATGTTCAAACAGCTCTTCCAGAAGTGGACAGAAAAGGATGAAACACTAGGACTGGGCAAAATCTATACTGTTGGCAAAACTGGTGAGTATGTTTTCAGAGCAATAACTTACCCTGCATTTGACTTTGCTACCTGTGATAAGCCACAGCTGAAGAAACATCACTCACATTAACTGTTCCCTGTCCTCAGCTCTTTGAAAATCCAGTGCACGTTCTTCTCATGTTCTGTATTTTCCACCTTCTTCAGTAGAAACAATGATTCAGCAATTGAACAATGTTCAAAACTGCTGGGGCTTTTTGCATAAACCAAACTGCCACTTATTCCAAATGTGAATGCTGGCAGAAGATCAATCTCATCTGAAAAAAAAATGTGTGCAGAAAATTCACACTTGTAGAACTTCTTAATTTTCTTTAGAGAGGGCTAATGATGAACCTGCAAAGGAAGTGTTGAACAACATTCTGCTTTCATTTACACTGGCATCCACCCAAGCCCCTCCTGACGTCAATGGAATTATTCTGTATTTACACCAGTGTAAGTGGTGCCCCCATTTATCATGCTGCTGAAGTGAATATTGCAAGGCATTAACCCCAAAGAGTAAACATTGAAGAGAGAGATCTTCCTGACAGAGAGAAGTGACAGAGATGCTGAATGTCTCCATCAGTAATATCTTCAGAGATGCAAATACCCTTTTTTTGCAAGTTCTCTCTCCCTGCTGTCCATAAATACTCTCTTTATCATGAGCTGAAAAACTGTAGGCATTCTAGTTCTAAAAGCAGCACTCAAAAAACGAGGGAAATATGTATAGATTTGGAAAACAATTATGACTTTTTGGTCATGAGATAACTTCTATTTTTATCTGCCAATCATCACAACTTTCCAGTAAAGTGCTATATGGGCAGTTGCCAGCCTAACAGATCAACTCTGGAGTGTGTGAGCTCTTGTATATCCTGAAATCAACATTTGCCTACTGCTGACCAAGTTTTTCTTACATGCATAATGATTGTGTGTGTGTGTGTGCACAAGGGTGATGCATAGGGTTTGTATGTTACTGTGCATTCACTGGGTTCTTGCCTTTATTCTGCTGGTGCGTGCAGCCAAGGTGGAGCAGGTGAAGTTTGACACGACTCAGCTCCATGCGAGACCAGAGCTAGCTGCTGAGCAGAGAATGGTGGATGATGCCTCTGGGGACATTGAGGTGAGAGAGCTCCTTTGGCTGACAGAGAATGCAACTACCAAAGTGTTTCCAAACTTCTCTGCCTTTTCATACAGCAGCTGTATGAGCTGTGCCCACCTGTCCTCCACAAAGTAGCATGGCTGTGGCCAGAGCAATCTGCTTACAAACTCCAACCAAGCAGCAGTTACCTCTAGGGCATTTCTCCTCCAGCCCATGTCCACCAGAGAAAAGCAGCCACCAAGCTGAACCCTCTCCTGCCATGTGCACAGGGCACGAGGCTGAATCAGGAGCAGCTCCCTTCTCACACTGTCCCCGAGTTCAGTCTATATTACATGTGTCAGTGCAGAGCAGAGGCCACTCTCTTTTTCCTGTGGCCTTCCATGGAAGACAGAATTGGTTGAGAGATGAGCCATGGGTCTGAGAAGCTGCACCTCCACCTCCTTGAGATCCACTGACTGTTCAGTTATGGCACATATATTATGACAGTCACTAGATAGACATGACTTTGCCAGCAAGCACTTTAATCAAGCTGGGGATTGTCTTTCCAGATGAAGACCTGAACATCAGTGGTCTTTTGGCAAAGGGGCTGTTCTGTCTTCACGTTGACTACACTGCTGCTCACCAACATGTTTCTCACACTAGGTGTGGAGAATTGAGGACCTGCAGATGCAGCCGGTGAATCCCAAGACATACGGGCAGTTCTACGGAGGTGATTGCTACCTGGTCCTGTACACCTACCTCAGATCAGGCCGGCCTCACTATGTCCTCTACATGTGGCAGGTAGGTCAAACTGAAACAGAAGGGACTGTGCTGTGTCTGCTAGAAGCCTGAAACTCAAAGAAAGAGTTGCACACAAAAATCCTCAGTAAAACATCCAGAAGAACTCACGTGTCCTTTGCTCATCAATTGTCCACTTGGAATCATCCCAAGCTCTGCTTTGTAGGCTGCATGGACACTGAGCCCAAGCTAGCATCAGGCAGAGAGCCAGCAATGTCACAGAGAAGTGGTGAAGGGTTATAGGACTCACAATGCTGAGGTTAAATCTTGTAGTCTTTCAGATTGTCCTTTAAGGCCTCAGCTCCTAGGGTCTACTGAGTATATGAATACCAATAGCTCTGCTCTTTAAATTATAATTTCCTTTCCTGGAATGCATGCTTTTCTCTAAAGCTTTGAAAATGTGATCCTAAAGGCTTCAAAAGAATGAAATAAATGAAATGTAAAAATCAAGTCATTTTTAACTTTCATTTTATTGTACACAGGGCTTTGGATTGGCAAGATGTTACACTTTTCAGAGCTTTACACCCTTCCCCTCATCATGTTGCATCTTCTTCCCTAGGGTCGCCATGCTTCTGTGGATGAAATCACTGCCTGTGCCCTCAATGCCATTGAGCTGGACAAAAAGTACGGGGACGAAGCTGTGCAAGTGCGCGTGACCATGGGCAAGGAGCCAGCACACTTCCTGGCGATCTTCAAGGGCAAGCTGATCATTTACGAGGTAACGTGGCTTTGTGTGCATGGTCAATGCAAGGTGAAAGCAGCAGTGATGGATTGGCAGTGACAATAGAAGTAGTCCAGAAAAATGGGCTGGTATTCAGGAAGAGATCCTGCCAGGTCCGTATGGTCTGGCATGGGAAAATGGTGGAATATTTTTAGCTCTTCCTTTGTGGGTGCAAATAGAGCCATCGTTGCTGTAATGTGTTTTCAACCCCCTCCCCTTCAGCCTACAGTTGGGTAACTGAGACACAGAGGGGCTGATTTCCATTTCCACAGCACTGAAGCAGTCTCTAGTGTGGTAGGAACATTGGAACATCACAGGACCTGAGTTTTCCACACTAACTTCCCAAGTTAGTGAGTAGGCTCAACACCACATGAGAAAAGGGGAACAATCCTGGACTGGCTTGGACTCAGCTGTCCACCCCTGAGCTCCAGTGTTAATGCATTAACGTTCTTTCTTTCCAACTCTATACCAAAATATTTTGCAGTTAAAATAGGATGATAGTATCATAAATTACAGGTAACATAATCCTTCAGGGCCTGCCTCCAGAGGAGTTCCTCCAAAACACCCAGCAAGCAGTTAACATGGTTTGAATTTTCCCTGCCTGAATTACATCACATTAACTTCTAACCCACTTTCCTTTGGGTGCCAACATCTCTGGTAGAGGCATTGCAAATGGCTGGGAAAGAGGGGGCTTGCCCTCAGCTCTCTGTGTTGGCTTGAAGCATATGATCACACACCACACCACAGCATATGATACGGAGAGCACAGCTCGAAATCTGAGTCCAGATGCCCTGCCCAGTTTACATGGCAAGTGCTTTGCGGACTCTAAGATCTGCTGAGCATCTTGACGGGAGCCAGTCAAGATGCAGAATAACCAGGGAGCAATGTGGAAGTTACAACATGTGGGTTTTATTCTGGCCTGGAACCAGAAGTTATTTGGATTTCCTCACCTGCTCTGTGCAGGCCCATGGTCTGTTGCTGTGTGGAGGGCTGAGAGACCAAGTCTTCTTCCCTCAAATTAGTTCTACCCTGGATTTGCACCCTCACCTCCCAACACCATCCTTCTCTCTGTTGCCTTGCAGAGTGGCACGAGCCGGGCTCAGAAAAGCACGCCCGAGCCAGCGATCCGCCTCTTCCAGGTGAGGGGCACAAGTGAGATGAACACCAAGGCCACGGAGGTGCCAGCCCGGGCCTCCTCTCTCAATTCCAACGACGTCTTCCTGCTGGCCACTAACCAAGTCTGCTACCTGTGGTGTGGGAAGGTGAGACCACCGTGATCCCAAGGGAGGCAGCCCCAGGGGGATGAAATTGCTGATGTGGGTCTTGAGTCTCCAGCCTCAACTGAGCCGTGGAGGTGTAGCCTTGGGCACAGAGCCCATTAATTTCAGCGGAAGAAGGTGAACCCAGGAGAAGGCTTTGTCTGGAGGATTAGCAGTAAGACAGCCCACTCTCTTCAGAAGTAACGCACCTTGGGATTCACGTCATCCCATTTTACATGTTCATACAGCTTTCACCTGAATAAAGCACCCCAGGCTATACAATTGTAAGAAACTAGCAAGATTTGGGCATGCTCATTTAACCTCTTCTAGTCTGCTTCAGGATGAGATGAGTTGCACCCCAGATGCCATTGACTGCACTGGCCATCCCTTCAATGACTAGAAATAGATTCTTAGTGACCAGCTCAGATGAGACCCTCAAAAGCACTGAAGCATGTCTAAAACTCTCTGGAGCAGTGCAGAGATCAAGACAGTTCAGCCCCACTGATAAGTTTCCCCAGTCTGCCACTAACTCATCCTCAATCTTCTGTCCTGAACCTAGGGCTGCAGCGGAGATGAGAGGGAGATGGCAAAGATGGTGGCTGACATTGTCTCCAGGAGGGACAAGCACACCGTTCTGGAGGGACAAGAGCCAGCAGAGTTCTGGGAAGCACTGGGAGGCAAAGCCCCTTATGCCAGTGAAAAGAGGTAATAGTGACCGGGTGGTTCCTCTGGGCTTGGCCAGGGAACATTAAGTAAAGGATCAGACCTTTGCAGGAAGGTGGGTAAGCACTTTGATTCCATATCCTCACCAATGGGAGCACTGGATCAGAATATTCCCAAAAGCTTGGCTTCACACAGTCAGAAATCGCACCAAGATGACTCTTGTCTTGGTTTTGGGTATTGGGTTGGATGGATTTCCCCATGGTAAATCCATCTCATGTTTTGTCATAAGAGTTATATGACCCACATCCTCCATTTCCAGCCATTACTGGCCTTATGGGCAGCCCCAGAAGATTCACAAAACTGAATTGGCATTTAAGCAACCTGGAAATCTGCAGCCCTCAGAGCTGGAGACATGTTGCTTTGCAACCAAGTGATCTGATGTGGCTTTCACCTGGCAGCAGGCTCTTCTCCACGTGGAGGGAAGGGATCTTCTGCCTTTGCCTTTGGGTGGAAAAAGTTACCTTTAAAATAGTAAAAATGGTACAAGTATCTTGTACAAACTGACATCGCTGAATTTCAGGCCTTCTGACAAGTGCTGCCATGTTTCCATTTCACCCTGCATGGTCATGACTAGTAGTGGCAGGGCCCAGTGGTAAACCACAGGGGAAAAGTTTTCATCTCAATTTTTCTTTCCCTGTCATGCATGAGGAAGGTTTCAAGAGCAGATCACACACTACCAGCCTCGCCTCTTTGAGTGCTCCAACCAGACAGGGCGGTTCATCATGACAGAAGTGGTGGGCTTCTGCCAGGAAGACTTGGACGAAGACGATGTCATGCTGCTAGACACTTGGGAAGAGGTCAGCACAGACTCCCCTACCCTCCAGACATATTTTCAAACAGGTTATGGCTTAATTCATATGTGTCTGTCATTCAACATGAAAATGAGGGCCATATGTCTTCTGCCCTGTCTCTAAACCCTGCCTGATGCCTGGTCAGACAAGCAGGCAAATGTCTAATTCTTCTCACCTCGGTAAAAACACTTCAGTGAGGCACTATTGTTAGCCTGTCTGAAAAGTGGGAAACTGAGGCACAGAAAGCAAAGCACTTTGGCCAAGGTTGCTTAGTGTGTACACTCAGTGTGAGGAATGTAGTTCCTCCTAATCAGGATGGTTTCAGACACAATCTAAAGACAGACAATAGTTTTTCCTCCTTCCTTCTCCTCTACTCCCAGACTAGATGTTTTCAAAGCAGACCGAAAGCAATCAGCTCCCATGTTCCTGGAGAGCAAAGGGCATACCTGAGCTTAGCACTAATAGTCCTGAACCAGGCAGGGGCTCAGGTTTTGGCTTCCTTTTCTCCCTATTTTCTGAAATATTTATGCTTTGTGCCTGTCGAAGCAAAATCCTTCTTGACTGGGAATAAATCTGAGATAAAAATCCCAGGTGGTTATTGGGAAACGAGTTGCAGTCTTATCTCCACTTCACTTATCAGGGGAGAACAAAGAGCTGTGTCTGCACAGGTCCTAACTGCTCACTGGTCTTCAATGCCTTCTCTCATTTCAGATTTTCCTTTGGATTGGCAAAGCCTCCAACACATATGAGAGGAACGAGGCAATTGCCTCAGCCAAGGAGTATCTCAAGACCCATCCAGCAGGGAGAGACTTGGCAACTCCAATAATACTGGTGAAGCAGGGTTGTGAACCCCTCAACTTCACAGGATGGTTCAACGCTTGGGACCCCTACAAATGGAGTGTAAGTTGTTGGGGTGTGAGGAGCAAACCCTCCCCATGACCTTTCTCTCAGCAGCTTCTGTTTCCTCATCAGCAAAAAGTACCTGTTTGGTGCAATGGGCTTCCGCAAATATAAGTAAATGTGCTTTAACTCACACCTGGTTTGTGTACAGCATGGTTGGATGGAGGAAGGAGCGATGCACTCATCCATCCAGACCATGAACCAGCTGGTCCAGCCTGCCTGGGGGTGCAGCACAGAATTTATTGGGAATAAAGGGCAACCCTGGAGGAGCTTCAGTGGTTAACGGACCTGGAATAGCTCATGAGGAAGCAAGCTTGCCAGGCTGCACCCAAATTCCTGCCACCCGATGGCACCTGTGTGCACAGTTTAGGAAAGGAAAAGCATTAGGACGATGAGCAGCTGGGAAAACTGAGCTCCCAGGTGGTGTTCCTCTGGACCCTTCTGCAGTGGGCTGCCACTGATTGTCCCTTCTCTCTCCTGTATTTTCTACAAACATCATTGTTCAACCTATTCACAAGCAGTCTCATCCTCTGGTGAATAAATCTGTGAATAAATCCCACACTGGAGTCTGAGGGAGGACAACCAGGGCGGTGGGTGAAAATACCCAGGGGACTTCACACCGCAGGAAATCTCATATAGAGAGATTTTTCTTCTCTAGAAGAATTTGCATCATCTTTATTTGCAGTCTCTAAGGTGGTAGGAAATCATTCTTAAAAGCTGTATTTGGACAGATAAGACAGCGTCTCCCAGAGCACTGACCCTTAAAACAACATTGATGCTTAGAACAAAGGTCAGACCTTGATTTTTCTAAGGAACTGCTGAAAAATAAGGATACAACTTATAAAATCCATACATCTAAATGTATCCCCTATAGGCAGTTTTAACAACAACAGACAAGCCATTCAAACTGCTAACATCCCAGAAACATCTGGTGTTTGTGTTCCTTGCTCAGTTTTGGGTCTAAATGTGTTTGTTCTGCAGTCCCTGTGTTTGTGTTGTTTGTTCTTATTGGGGATCTTTGCTGGATGGTGCTGCTAAGAACTGACATCTCCTGGCTGTTTAGGAAAACACAGCCATCAGATTGCCAGTGTATCTAGTACATTCCTTTTGTAGGAGCTAAAAGGTACCCGGTCATACATGGCACTAAAATGTCTGGGACTGAGGCTTTCAAAAATCTGTTGCTAAGTGAAACAGTGAAGTGAAAAAAAAAAAAAAAAAAAGGAATAACATCTTATTCCAAATTTGCAAGATTAAAATTGCAAGATTAGTTTAAAATTTAGAAGATATCAATCTAGCAGTAAATAGATTTCTCTTTATCTGCCTTCTGTTCTCTGAAGTCTTTACATTTTCTGTGTTCACCTGTTAGTTTATAACTGCAGAGGCTAAAGTTCATCTGTTTTTTGTTTTCAAGTGGCAGCTCAGACTCTGGCTCAGTCTCCTGGTTCCAGGAGCTGGGAGTTAAAGGAGACACTAGCTGCCACCCCGGGGAGCACCACTGGGCTTTAAAATTCATATGATTTCCTGACCCTGTTAGAAGAGAGCAGCATGTGCTAATTAAAGGTGGTCCATGCTTCTAACAACTCTTTTTACCTTTAGGATGGCAAGTCCTATGAGGAGATGAAGAACAGCTTAGGAGACATGTCGGCCATATCTGAGATTACAGTGGTGAGTGGCTTCGAGGTGGTATGGGTGGGAAACACCTGGGTTTAAACACCACCATGTCCCCCAGCGTACCATAGAATCTCAGAACCACAGAGTCATTAAGGTTGGAAAAGCCCTCCAGGATCATCAGGTCCAACCATTCCCCTACCACCAATGTCACCACTAAGCCATGTCCCCAAGCACCACATCCAGCCTCTCCTTGAACACCCCCAGGGACGGTGACTCCACCACCTCCCTGGGCAACCTGTCCCAATGCCTGACTGCTCTTTCTGAGCAGAAATGTCTCCTCATTTCCAATCTGAACCTCCCCTGGCACAACTTGAGAGGGCACAAGGTCCCATCAATCCCAAAAACTATTGTCACATGGGATCGATTCTGCTTTGGACAGGAGCAGGGGGAAGGTTGGAAGGATGTGGTAGGGGCTTTGAACAAGGAGAGATGGCAGCACAGCAAAGGGGCCACATAATTTAGAAGTTCCAGACATGGTAGATATCTAATCTTACTGTCTGTACTCCCATGTGCATCCTCTCTCTGACATTATCTTTTGAAAAATGAGACTACTTGAATTGTCTTCAGTTATTTCTAAGGGCTCTCAACAGGGCTGTGCTTTTAACAGTCCTAACATCTTGATGTAATGTTGATGGAAGTGCTGGCCTGATGTTTTAGTGTCGACTTTCTCCTTGATTCTTTGGCTCTCCAAAGTGGCAGAGCAGCAGATGTTCTGTGCCAGGAACAGTCCCTTCAACCCCACCAGAAAGAAAGACTTGCGGATAACCCCCAAGTTGCCTTGCTTCTCTTGACATCTTTTCCTCCATTTGGCAGGACCTTAACAACATCAGCCTGAGCAAGAAAACCCTCAGCATGACCAATTTGGCTGTTTCAAGCACAGCGAGTGCTTCCCCCGAGTATAAATCCCACTTCAACCACGCCGACAGCAGCAGCTACACCAACAACAGCAGCTACACCAACAGCAGCCCTTCCTCAATGCCCAACGGCGAAGGAATCTACTCCCGGGAGGTGCTGATGAACAAGACCGTGGATGAACTTCCAGAAGGAGTGGATCCCACTAAAAAAGAGGTGACAGCACTGCCGGTTTGATGTCTTTGTAGCTCAACCTGGAACTTAGTTGCAGGCTAAGAGCACAGGCACCTTGGGTTATTAAATCCTACTTGAGGCTAAAGGAGATGACAGCTGGACACGGAGCTCTATTGAAAAAGCAGGAGTTTGATGTGAGAGGAAACTGTGGTAGTTTTACTGTAGTTGAAATATTCCTCTTTTTTTATGGAAGAAAAGTGAATTTTAAGTAATTAATTAAAAAAATATGTTCTAAAGGCAGCTCAGAATGAAACCAGGAGGTGTGTTTTGCCTGGGCTGTAGGTTTTTATTTTCATTTGAAACTCCTTCCAGAAGGGATCTTGGTATTTTTTGGTTTTGTTTGTTTGTTGTCAGAAGCTTAGATTTCAGCAAAACCCACTGAGAAGGGCAGGGAGGAGTGCCATATTTCAGCCCTACGCTTTTGCCAACATCTGTAGTTGAGTGCAAGCAAGCTGGTGGGAGAGACACAGGGGAATGCTTCCCTCTGTTTCCTACAACCCATGTTTGACCAGTTTCTTGCCCCAGCAGATCTTCAGGCAAAGACCAGTGTCACAGCCAGATTTACATCTGGCCAGAGAGCTGCAGGGCCAGCAGCTCTGCCCTGCAGCAAAGCCCATGTGCTAATGGCTGTATTTCAGCTAGGCTGTACAAGAGTCCTTTATTTTACTCGAAATGCTGGAGAAAACTCAACTTCCATGTCCCTCAGGGTCTTCCTGAGACCACTGTCTGAGTTCCTGTCTTTCCAGCAATAGGAGTGAGCACTTCTAGTGGAATATTCAGGGGGCAATTAAGCCAGGGGAAGATGCTTTCACGGTGAATCACTGCCTGAGAAACCACTCAAAAGTCAGGCCAGCAGAGTTTCTCTGAATCAGCATTAATTGTCCTGGCCTCAGTATGATCAGCAGGGACCAAATTCCAACCAGAGCATGCTAATTTTCAAAACAAGGGCATCCCTTTGGGCTGGTGGGCTTTTATTCCTCTGGTGCTCTGGGCAGCGGGATGAGAAACAGTTGCTGGGACGTTCCATTTCCTAACATGAGGACAGGCAGCAGGACAGGAGCTGCTTGCCTGAACTCAGGGGATGGCAGGGTGAGGAAGGGGCACAGCTGATGGAGGTGTCCCAGCCTTCGCAAAAGCCCGTGCTGACCTCTCCTTGCTCTCTCGCCCTGCTGCAGTACTATCTCTCCGACGCTGATTTCCATGATATCTTTGGGAAGTCCAAACACGAGTTCTACCAGATGCCCAAATGGAAGCAGCAGAATGAGAAGAAGCAGTGTGGACTCTTCTGAGCCTGCAGGGGCCACCCAGCATCCAGTGACTCTGGGACCAACCCTTGCTCTCTCAGGAGCTGCAGGGAGGACATACAGACATTTGCTCAACGAACCCAACCCAACATCTTAATCAGGCCAAGCTCCAACGCAGTTATTCCAGCAACCACTGTTCAGGGGATGGCTCCTTTCTCCCTGCAAGTCCCCAAAACAAGGAGACAAAACCTTTTGCAGAATGGCTTTGCAGGATGTTTTTGCCCCTTTTGGACACTTTATTGCTAATAGCCATGAAGACAAGTGTGTGTCACAGCTGTGTTGTAGCCTCTTCTTTTCCTCTCCCTTTTGCAATCTGCCACATCCACAAGGCCACGATCTTCCTTTGTTTGGAGCAGTTTAAATTTAGGCAAGACAAGGGCCACTTGTAGCTGTTACATAAATTCTGGATGGGAAGAGAAGGGGAAAGCCCTAGGGAGAGAGCCTTGGGGTCAGGAAAAGGCAGTGGAGTGGCCAGATGTGTGATGGGGCAGCCCATGGAGTACAACTAGCCAGGTCAGCCTCTTCTCACCCTGCAGAAAAGCTCCTCGTCATAAGCCAGCAAGGATCGATTATAGACTAACATGCATAGCCTAATGCAAGTAAAACAAATAAAAAAATGGGTTGGGAAAAAATACATATTTAGAGTATATTTATTAGCTAATCTATTTCAAGAAGATGATGAGATTAAAGGCTAGATGCAGCTGTTGATTTTGACTGCCCAAGAAGACTGATTTTTTTTTTCCATTCAGACAACATCTCTGGTCCTACCATGAGCGTGACTGGGGGCAGGTGAGTCTGAGCCCACCTCCCCACAGACCAGAGCCTTGGCAAAGCCAGGAGGGTTTGGGGTATGAGCTCAATCTGATTGGAGGGGGCAGGGGGAAAAGTGAGTGATCAGTGATGAAGGGATGCAACTATATAGGAAAGGAGGAAAAACATATGTTTAAAAACCCCAAAGATGTGGTTTTAAAGCTTTACTCTATTTCCAGCCTGATGGGTGATTCCAAATAAACAGCCAACAGCAGCACTGTAAGTGTCTTTGGTCAGTATGTGGGGTAGGACGGTGGTGGAGAAAAGCTCTGCAGGGCCTTCAAATACCTGGTCTTTGATGGAATTTGGGATCTTCCTTGAAAGGAAGAGTCCTAAACACCACAGTCTGGTCCATTTGTGTCTCCAGCCCATGCACTCTGCTCCTGAACCCCCTGTTCCCCACATTGTTCATCAGGTGGCTTGACTGCCCACCCCTGCTGCAGGGACATGGGGTTGGAGCTGAGGAGCTGCCGATGTGTTGGTTGAGGAGCAGAGGGCTCTCATGTAGTACCCAGGAGGGCTGGAGGCATGGACCTTCCAGTGGAGGGTTCTTCTGGACAGATCTTTGCATTTCAGAGTTGGTGGTTACTTCCTATAAGCCACAACCACATCATTACCTCCATGCTCCTGCACCGCTTCGGCTCATTTCTGCTTGAGGGTCCAGCCCCAGACCCACAGAAACACCCACACAGAGTAAGGTGAGAGTCAAACAGAGACACAGTTCGGCCAAATTGCCAGCGTGAGTGCTCCTGTTGTGTTCACGCTGGATATAATCAGTGCACGTTATCCCTCTGCCACGGCTGGAAGCTGCAGTCTATGTACAATATTTATTTTGCCCTGCTGCAGCAAGCTCGTGCCAGCTCCCAAATTAACGAATCGCGTGTGCTACTTCATAAAATGCAGCGATTCCACCCATCAGCCCTGACGGGGGGCCTAATGAGTATCCTGCAATCAACGGAGAGCAAGTGGCAACCCTATCAGGTAAGGGAGATGAAGCTGGTTTGCTACGTGTTGCTTTCATTTGTGCTGCCATGATGCTCACCAGCAAATGGGAACAGAGCAGTCCTACCAGGACTCGGAAAGCAGCAGGGTTATTTATTATTATTTTTTATATTATTGTTTTACAATTAATAGATCTCTGACATTTAGGCCTGCTGGAAACTGCTGCTGCTCTCCTCTTCTCATGGGGAGAGCTGGTTTTACTCTCTGCCTCTGTTTTATGAAGGAAAGGGCAGTTTCTCACCCACATCCTCCCTTTCATGCCACTTTTTGCTTTTGCTGCAGCTTCTGGTGGGTCGTGGCCCACGTCTACCACTCTTCTCCTGACCTCTCTACCTATCCCATTTCCCCTGATCTCTCTACCTGTCCCACAAGGGATGTTGCCTTCCCACAGATCTTGCCTACCTCCACAACAGGCAGCGGCAGCCTTGGCTTCTCCACATAGTCCATCTAAACCCACCCTGACTGTGGATGGACAGTGAGATCCTGCCCCTGCCTGCCCATCTCCCGCAGCTCTCATCTCTCCCATCCTTAAAACAAAATGTTCGGAGCGTCCTGGGAGCCTGGGTGGCCCAAACTCAGGGTGTCTCTGAGGTAGAGCTAAGGATGCTCCAACCTTGGCCTTCCAACGTGCCTCCTGGTGTGATGTTCCCTGTCCTAGAGGTGAGCTGAGTGAAAGTTCATGTCACTGCAGGACACCCAGCTCTGCCTCGGTGCCTTCTGCTGCTCTTAAACTCCTTCAGCCGCAGGTAATTAAGTCAATTTCAGCCTTTTTGGTGTGGATATAATTCACATTTAATCTGGCAATGGTTTACAACATCACAGATAATTATAGTGAAGAGGAAAAATCAATGTGTCCAGCATTACTGCAGCATAACAAACTCCAGGTCGGACTAAAAGAAGCCCAGTTTTGCAGTGGGCCCAAGGATCACTAAATCCAAGCTATTTTAGACTCAGAAAAAGGTGGAGGATTGAATGGACTGGAATTTGTGTAAACAGAAATTAACCTCTTTGGTAGAAGCCCATCCTCTCCAATGCCAGCCACGAAAAACCAAACCCCCCAAAAGACTGACAGCTTTAAGAAATTAAGCAGGTCCGTCTCCAAATTCATCCATGTTGCATTCAGGTAGGTCAAAGAGGCAAACAGTGATGAGGAATTGGACTTTTCCAGATTATTTTTTTGTCCTTTTAATAGTCTAACATAGTAACATAGCTGGAACTGGAAAACATATATTATCTCAACACTATTCACTTAACTCTGTAGTTGTGCTTGAAAAAAAAAAAAACACTTTTTGCCATAAATATTGGGTTGTTCAAAACGCTTTTTTCTGCTTGTGCTAGGTTACCTCTACAGTGCAACTGGGACTGAGCTAACATTTAAAACCATTTCTACCGCCACTTCTTGTGTTAAAAGGAGGTTTTGCTATAAAAAACACAAAGTTTTACTGCATTAAAAAAAAAAAAAGAAAAAAGCCCTACTGTCAGTTCAGTGTATTTCCACTGTCATCGGCAAAAGACATTCTCTGAGGTCCCTTTGAGTGGATTTCACTTTGGGTTAGAGGGAAATCTGCCGTTCGGCAGCTTCTTTCTCCTTCACAGGGTAAGAGCCAGGCTTTGAATGCAAAGCGACCTGGCTGGGAGCCAGGCACGCAGGCAGAGTAGTGTTCATGTATTTTTTATTATAATACAAAAGAAAAGTCAAGTTATATAACGTGGCCCTTTGTAGTGCAGCTTTCTTTTTAATCTGTAACAGACAAGAGGAGAATTGTGTCCTCGTTTAGGACTTCAGATGGTGAAGGATGTCTGACATCTGAAGCTGCAAGAAGTCACCTGGTATCTAGCCACTGCCTTCAGTGGTAGGGTGCATTTTTCTTGCACAGATGTGGAGTGTTTTGTCCAGATGCTTGATTGGAACCCACACCAAGCACTGTAATTTGCAAAAAAGGAGTCCCTATCCTCTTGCTAAAAGCAGAATTGAAAATCACACTAAAGTAAAGTGAACTAAAAAACACAGCTGGATTGGTTGGACAGGTACGAAAGGATTAATCTCAACAGCAGCATTAGGATGTTTCCAGCACGCAGAAGGGAGAGAGTCGATGGCTATTTCAGACCAGGGCCCTGTGGGGCACCATGTGCTGCTCCAGAGAAGGCACTGGGGATCAGGTGGGACCCTGGCACTGGCAGCCGACACACGCTGCGTTCCTCCTAGGGCTGTAACAAGGCCCGCTGCACCCTGGAAGAGCCGAGCTGCTAATCGCAGTCCTGGATATTGATGTAGACAAAGAGGGTGGAGGAGGAGTACGGGTCGCCGTTCTTGGTCAGGAGATGGATGTGGCGGTAACCTGGAAGCACAGACACAGATGGAGAGCGGCCTTTAGTCCGGTCGGAAAAACATTTCCTAACATTTGCCAAGACCCTGCACGAACATTTCCCCGTCTCTGAGAGTGCTTTGCTCCCTGTGCCCCACAGAACAGCTAGGTCAGAGAGGCATGGCTTTGAGCATTGTTAAAACACAACATGTCCAAGGCCCTGGTGACAAGCTTGTCCCCTCCCAGGAGTCAGCGTGCAACAGCTGCTCGGTAAATCATTTATCATCTTGTCCAGACACCAGAGCAAGGACCTGTCCTGACCCAAAGTGTTCTGGGCTCTGGACCTCTCACGTAGGACACTGGAGATACTCAAAGGCATCAGTGGGTGTGAGGAAGAGGGCAGAGGGCCTTACCTTGCTTCAGACTAGTGAAGGGAAGCGTATACTGCCCGATGAAGTCGTTCTTGGTTGACATGTCAAAGTCCTCCACCACAAAGCGGACCAGGGCAAGTGCAGGGATCTCTATGTCAAACGTAAACTCTTCTTCCCACTTCGGGTTAAAGCCTGAGCAACACAGACAAGGATGGAGATCAGAGCTGCTCGCAGACAAGGAGGAAGGTAGGAGATGCTCACGAGCAAGAATGTTGGTCAGAGATGTTTGCAAATAAGGATGGGGACTTGGCCTGATTGGGAACCTAACCTGACCCAGGTCAGAGGTCTCAGGAGATGCTGAGACTTGTTCCCAACTCTGACACTGAATCGCTGCCTGGTATTAATTAATAAATCCTTCAGTTTAGGCTGCTCACTGCAGGCCTCAGCACCACATCCCCAGAAGGCAGCAGGGGGCAGAATGGGGCTGAACTCAGCCCTGCTCCAAAGGCTCTCACTGGCTGATACATAGATAAGACATCTTGGGTTGTGTTGGACCAGCAGCAGACTTTTACAGCCCCAGACCCGGGGGAAGTGGAGAAAACTGTGCCTTTGTGTTATGACAGCTCTCTGGGGCTTTATGTCTAAGGATCTTGTGATCCAGACTCACAAAGCAAACAAAATGACAACAGCCCCATCAAATGAGAGACAAAAAGCAAGCGCAGTGCTCTCCCACTAAGTCACTGCGGGTGCTCCCTGCAGTTTCAACAAACCACTCCCCAGAAACAAACAGGAGAAGAGGACATCCTGTTTGAAACCCCACTGCCATCAGCACAGCCTGTGCGCCACAGAAGCTCCAGGACAGCAAAACATCAGCTCAAGCCTGCCGGTCCTGGAGGGTCTGTGGATGACTCGGCAGGAGGCAGTGCTCTTTCAGCTGGCCCTGAAGGTGCTAGGAGGGTCTGTGACAGCACCATAGCAAAATAATTGGGTTGGGTTGTTGCAATTTATTTGGAATTTTGGGGCTACTCTACCTCCAGCACCCCTTGAGCTCCCTTCCAGCATCTCTCCTGCCCCTCTCCAGGCAGCTGTGGGCTGGCTATGGAGATGTGCTAAGCAGCCCTGAGGAATAAGCCTGGCAGATCTAAAATGTTCCTTAGCCTCCACTCGAGACATTCTAAAAATCATTGTAGGCAAAGGAAATGACCGTGAGCTTTAGGAGCCAGGCCAGATTTACTCAAACAGGAAAGGAGGAAAAGGAAAACAATGTTAGCAGAGAGGAAAATATGCGTTGCCTTTCTAGTGCTGGGCTTTTCCTTCACGCAGAAAAGCAGTGCGTGCATGTGTCTGGGTGTACCTATGTGTCTGTCTGTCTGGAGGAGGGGGAGGTCTGATTTCTCAGACTCCTACTGCCTTGTCTTCCCACAGAAGAGAGGGCTGAACCTGCCCTCTGCTGTCTCTGCCACAGTATTCAGCCCCTGAAAGATTGGATCACTTGCAATTTCCATGCTTTGGGACACTCAGAATCCATCTGGTCAATACAGTGAACAACGTGAGTTAACTTAGGTCCTGTTTTGGACCTCCCTTCCTACCTCACTCTTTCATGAGTTTGTGGCTCTTTCAGAATAAAATCAGCCTCACCAGAGGCCTTCTCTGGGAAGATCTTGTTGGGAAACTTTGTGTCCCAGGTCAGATCCAACTGCATGGAGGTAAAGAACACTTCCAAAGCTCTGGGTCTGCAGATTCGGCAGCCAACCTAAAAGCAATTCAGCTGGCTGATGTTTTACAGGTAATTTCTATCTCCAAACACCTCAGACAGAGAAGACATGGAAAAAACCCTGAAAGAAATGCCCCATGGGGACAGTTTGTGGGGCTAGCTATATAACCAGGTTCACTGCACTGAAGTACACCAACAGCATCTGATGGATCTGCTTAGTGTGAGCCAGCTCGGGTGATCTGGGCAGGCCTGGCCACAGGGCAGCAGGTCTTGATGAGGAACACACTGCTACAGAAAACCAAAGAATTACTGCCCCAGGGGTCACGGCATGAAAGAAAAACCCTTACCGTTGTTTTCAATGACTCTGGTCTGCTTCTTGTTGTTATCCTGTTGGACGCCATGGATCTCAATCGTTACCTTGGGATCAACGATGGAGTTTTTGCTTTTGTTTACCTTGGGCAGCTGCTGACCAGAGATGATCTGTGGAGGAAACAGAAGAAAAGGTCAGAACATCGGTAGGAGAGGGGGTTCCCTGACAAACATCCCTCTCCTTCTCCAGGAGCACAGGACTTGTTGCTGGTGTTGGTCTTTCAGAACCAACACTGTGACATTCTTCAGAGGACGCTGTCAGGAGCTAAAGCACCTAATGAACGCTGCTACAGTGCAGCCAGCTGGTCTGGGTCAGGGAAAAGTCAACTCCTCTCTCTCCCCAAAATGATCAGACGATACTTGGAAATAACAGCAGTGACTGTTGACTGCCTGTCTATAAAACGCCTGTGTGTTCCTGTAGGGTGAATACTGTCATTAACTTCTACTGCTGACAAATATTAAACGTGAGCGAGTCCCTGGAAGATGAGGGCCCATGCAGGACTGAAGCGGAGACACTGGCAGTGGGAAATGAGTAGGGCTGGGATAACATTGTCCATGTGGGACCAGGAGAAGGCACAACCTATAACCCCCCCAAAAAAATGGATGCCACTAAGATAAGTTTCCAACTTCTATTCTTACTTTAAGCAGAAGCTTCTTCTTTGTCCCCCATGTTCCTTCTGTGATGGATTTTGGATTGAATTTGGTTTGTTCATCCCGGAGGAATTCCGGCTTTAAGACATACCCAGAAAACCCATTGTCCTGGAACCGACCCTGGTAGACATCCATTTCTGTGCCTGCTGTCTGGAAATTTAGGGCAACTGCAACATAAACAAATAAATTCAGTCACTTTCAGATAAATCAATGAGAGTATACCAATTCCGTTCACATGAAATTACATTTCATGGACATAACCATTGACTTTTCCATGCTGCAAAGATCAGTGATAACCTCTGACCCCCAAAGCCTGCTTCCCCTGAGGATTTCTTCCATTCAGAGATGTTAGAGGCAGAAGGAGCCATAGTAGCTACCTCAGTTTTCTTCCTACCTATGACAGGATCAAAAAATGTCCTGCACTGAATTCACGTCACCTGGTTGAACAACCTCATCTTTCACATAAACCCATTCATGAAGCCACAGATCATTCTCAGATTGTTTCTCTATCTACTTAACCTCATTATAAAACCTATTTTCCAGCCCAAACACACCTATTTCCATTTGCCACCCTCAGGGACCTCTCCTGGTTACACTACAGAGCTCCTCACAGTCTGAAATCCTTATGCAGTCCGGTAGAGAAACTGTGATCAAATCACCTCTATATTGTCCTTTGCCCAATATAGATCAAACCTCACAGTTCTCCTGACACCAGGCAGATTTCCTGTATCCCTTCTAATTTGCCCCTATCTTTTTAAAAGCTTTGATGTCAAATCTGGAAGCAGTGTCTGTGAACAGTTTCATTAATACCACAAAGGGAGGGCACACAGATCCCAGAGCCTGCTCAGTTCTCCCCTGATTTCCCCAAGGTGATGTTAACCTCTTTAGCCACTTCTAAAGAAGCCCAGCTTTATCCTGGGCCTTAGTCCTACATACGCTGCACCAGGTTTTCTGAATGAAAGCTACAAGATAATTCACTTAGCAAGCTGCAAGACCTTTTCATCACATCTCTGAGACATGAGAATGCCACCAGGGCTTCAGTGTCCCAGGAGCAAACTAGAGGCACTGCTTTGACTGGAAAGATCTCAGGCCACAGCTTGTCCCTTATGGTACGGCCCTCCTCTAGGGCTTGAGAGATCTGAGTTTGATCTGAGGTGTTCAAGTAAAGGTTGGACATGGTGCTTGGGGACATGGCTTAGTGGTGACATTGGTGGGAGGGGGATGGTTGGACCAGATGATCTTAGAGAGCTTTTCCAACCTTAATGATTCTATGACCAAACCATCCAGGTTGACCCCCTCCAAGCTCCCAGTTGCACCCACCGATCTGGCAGCCGACGTTCCACAAGTCGATGGGGTTGTAGTTGGAAGAATCTGTCCTCCACCCGGCAGGGTAGATTCGGCTCAGGTGCCTGATGTTGTGATGAATAAAACTGTTTCCTTCAGGAAAAAAAAAAATATTCCTTTCAGTGATGGGCCTGCTTTTCTTTGATGCTGCTGTTTATAGCCCTGTTCTGTCCAGTGAGTCTGGCCTGCATAAAGTGCCCTTCTTGGTGACAACCTCCGTGACATTAAGTCACTCCCACTGTTTCTCAAAATGATATGGATGGCCAAGGAGACCATGACCTAGATCTCTGGGGATGCCTCTTTCTCATGCCTAACCACCACTAGCTGTCACTTTATGGGGGACTGGAAGAGAGGATGGCCTTCTGCCAGAATATACGTACCAGACTCCTGGGCTAGTTTCAGAGCTTTGCTCTCTGTGAACGATGACATCTCGTAGAAAGCCCGAGGGTGGCTGGGGTCCTCGAAGCCATTGAAATGAACGCTCTTGCAGTAGACAACTGTGTCTGACAGCTCCTTGGCCAGCTTCAGGGTGTCACTCTAAAAGAAGGAGCAAGAGGTTTGTGGGGAGCTTCTGCAGTCCTACTCAAGAGTAACGGTTATGTTTTGTTTAGGATCACTGGGGCTTTTATTTTCCACTGATTTCAGATGGAAAAGATGCCCCTGATGACTTGGGGCTCCCCTAGGCAGAACACTAAAGGGGCAGCCTGCCCTTCCTATGTCCTTAGCACATGCAGAGTGCTAATCCCTCCTCCCAGACCTTCAGTAGGTAACGCTACCGGCACATTTCACCAGCCCATACTGGCCTGTCCAGTGATATCACTGACTTCCCAACTGCTACCACCAAGAATATTTCACTTCATCTGGGTTGTCCCTCCTGCATTCATTCACACGCTGTTATGTGAATGACTATTTCACCTTGGCTATTACAGCTCACAAGTGATTAGGGATATAAACACAGACAGAACCTATTTGGCCTGTATTGGTGAGCTAAGAGGGGATTTCACACAGGAGACACTTTGCTGTCCCAGCACCCCTTGTTGCATGATGTCCTCCAGATGAAATTTCTCACTTTTTGTTGGTGGGAGACCCTTTCTGCTGCTTTCTGCATTATCATTTGTAATTCAGCATCAGTGGCTGTCGCCAGTTGCTAAACCTTACAACTGAGCCTTAGCAATGAACTGGTCTGAAAATACTGTCCTGGTGCCAAGTATGCAGACCTGGGAACAGAGAGAAGGGTGGGAACAGAGAGAAGGGAAAGATGTTTGGGCACCCCCAGACCTTGGGCTTTTTTATCTTCACTTAGGAAGTTCTCACAGTGCTTTGGTGCCAACTACTCCACAGCCTTGATGCAAGGGTGAAGTGGGAGCCACCAGCTCCCACCAAAGGCAGGAAAAGAAAATGAGTCTTCACAATTACACACACTGTTGATCACAGATCAGAGAAGGAAATAAAGCCCTCAAAGGGTGGGCTTATCAGCGAGGGAAAGCATGCATCAGACCAGATTCAGAGGCAATGTCAATCCACTTTGTCATAAGTGGGGCTGAATGCATTTATGTCACCTGTGAACCTGGTCCATAAGGGATATGTCCTTCACAACGACCTGCAGTCTGGAAAAGTAAGTGTCCTCACATGAGGGAGCAAAACTACTTTAGCTGAAAATGTATCAAAAGTATATTTCTGTTGTTTTTGTTTGTTTTCAAGCACAGTACAAAGCGCACCTAGAAGGTGGTTTGCCAACATAAGGCATGGGATTGACGAACAAGGCCAGACCTCCTGATGCTGGATTTCAAAGCCTTCTGCAATACACAAAGATCTAAGTCAAAGCTTTTCTGCCTTTCCAGATCTGCCCCTTTCAGGGATTCAGTTACTTTTGTTTTACTTACCTTCCCCTTCTGCTGCACCTTTGTCTTTACAGATTCATCTTCTATTTCAGCTGCTTCATCTTCATCAGAGACATCCTCAGCCTCCAGGTTGTTGTTCCCATTTGTGGGATCCTCCTGTCTGCTCAGCTTCTTGCCTTTCACAAGGATCTTCCCTTTCAGTTGCTGCACAAAGAGAAGTGGACAAAATAGCTGGCAATTAGCAGACGTGGCACCAGAACACATAAAGGATCTCGCAGGTGAAGTGTTAGGGCATGGACACCCTAAGGAAGAGTTCCCAAACCAGACCCTTCTTAGATACCTCATTCTGGCTGCTGAGCTAATCCCAGGAACACTTTTCTTGTGCCGAATCACAGCCTCTTTCAAAGTCCACCTAAAAGCATCAGGTGAAGGAACGCACCAAAAGCAGATGGTTGCTCACAGACCACCACACCACTGACATGACCCAGTGCTTGTGCAAGCTCAGACTGTGGGAGGAAAGCTGAAGCCTGGAGAGGGCTGACTGAACCCAAATGGTGCTGCAGCAATCCTGGCAGCAGGGAGCAGCAGTATTGCCTGGATGCAATCTCCAAGTGAATGGGTTACACCTCAAAAATCAAATAATTCAGCCCAGGAGCAGCCCTAGATTCTGCAGCTTCCAGTAAAGTCAGTGGGAGATTTGCTGCCACATGTGTGGTACTGCTGGCTACGGAGGGTGCTACTTATTCCAGGAAAAAGGCGATATCAGGTTTAGCCAATGCAGTCCCTTTACTCGTGTAGCATGGTCCCTCTTCTCCCAGCACCATCCTATATTTGCCCCTTCCACATCTGCAAAAGCAACAAGCCCCACTGCTCTCAAATGACAGGCCTGTGGAAAACCAAGGATCTTTTTAAAAACAACACAGGCATTTGCAAAGAACACCATTCCCCTTCTGTGGCTGCAAGCAAATTGCATCGTGTCTCCGCGGAGACCAGCCCAGCTCCTCACGGACCAGCTACGCTGCAGATGAAACTTGGTTTGAGCCGAAATCTGGCACCGGCACCTGAAGCAGCAGCCAAGAGGATTTTTCTTCATCTACCACAAATGATCTGTTTACGCTGGGGCACTTTCCCTGTCATTCAAAAGCTGCACAGAGGCAGCTGGGAGGAATGTACCAGTGTCTGGAAATAAAAGGCCCAAAGGAGCGTTCAGAACACAGCATCCTCCTCCTCCCCATCCCCAGACCACCCTCCAGCCCCCCCGCTCCTCAGCCTTCTTCCAAGCTGAGCTGTGTCCAGGCAATGCTTTGAGTGCCCCAGCCCGGAGGGGTTGCACTGGGGACAGTTGTAGGGGGACACAGAGAAGTCCCTCTGGTCCTTCACGGGCTGCAGATCGCATCCTGCTGTACTCTATATTCTTACCTGCCTCTGCTGTCTAACATCCCATGAGAAAACTTACCGCCTCATCTCACCGTTCAGCAGTAGGGAACTCGGACAAAATGCATTTGGGGCAGCCTGCTTGATTACCAACAGAGATACCAGCCCTTTCTAAGCTTTTACAACTCCAGACAAAATGTGTCTGCAGAAGCTGCCAGTGATAAACATTGCCCTCCCTCATTTACCGTGGATATTAGGAAGCAAAGTCCTAAATGTGAGTGCTTATCCCTTTACAAAGGTTTTAAATAAGCTGACAAACACAGACACAAACACTCACAAGCACTTGTTCCAACCCTCTGGGTTCCTCTTCATGTGACATTAAGTATTTCTAGCCTGAGGGGAGAGACACTCAGCTCATCAGTTCAGCTCTGCTGAGCAGATCCCTTGTCTTAGGAAGAAGCATTAGCTGAAATGCTCAATAAATACTCTCCAAGTAGGCCATAAAGCTATTCCAATTGCCAGTGGCAAGCCCGAAGTCGAATATAACTTAGGAAAATGGGAAAAGCTACAAGGATGCAGGACTCCACCGAGAATGTTTAGTGTAGTTGAGTAAATGCAGCTCTTTCACTTCCTTGTGTACCTTGTAAATCATGTTGCTTTCGTTCTCCAGAAGTGGAGTTCCTGCTCTCTCATCTTTTCTATGGCACGCCAAAGCAAGCTCAGCTCTGCACATGAGATGGCTCTGACACAAGGCTTTGCTCCCTTAGGGACATGGCAACTATCTAATGTTCTGTTCTTTATCAGGAGCAAAGCTTTTAAGAGCAGAGTTTAAAAGATCTGCACACATGCAATTATTTTACCTGAGGGTTTCCTGCCCCTGCTAGCAGCCCAAAGGCCATGGCAAGATCTGATTTCCAGTCTTTGTTGCAGTGGGAGTGTCAGACTCTTAACAGAAACCACCTCTACAAACTTTCTATGGCTTCACACCTCCTTTAGAGTCAACAAATAGAACTGAACACTCCTAAGATGTGATTCACCTGGTCTATTTAGACAACCACTTGGGACCACACCTCCAATGCCCCTGACTGTATTAACTAGTTGTAAAACGGAGCCCAAAGTGGCATGCTCAGGTACTTGGATATACTAAGAACTGCCACCTTAGGAGATATCCATCTCCCCAGACTTCTGAGAAGCTGTGAGGATTAACGTGTTCATGTTCATTAAGAGATGTGCAAACCAGGAGCACTTTTTCCTATCATGTCTCCATCTGTGGACGTCTTTCAGAGCAGCTGTAGCCTGAGGTGTTGCAGATTTTACAATGAGTAGCACCACAAGATAAAAAAAGTCTCAGAAAAAAAAAAGGGGAGGAGGGGAAGAAGCACATTATTGAAGGAGATTTTGAGAGATTTAGATCAGTTGTGCCTTGCTGCTGCTATACTGGAAGCAGTTGCTGAGCTGCATGGCTCAAGGGGATGTTGAATGGGGGCGCTGGTCTCAGTAGTGGATGTGATGGGACAGCTGGTGGGACACGGGAGGTGTGGGATGGCTGAGACCCCAGCCACTGCACTGGGGCTCTCACCTGGGGGGCTCGTGGTCCAAAGGGTCACCCACCAAGGCAGGTCTGTTAAGGCCAAAGCCATCCTCATGGTGAAGGGTGTCCAACAGCAAAGAGTAGGAGAGCTCTTGGTTATGCTTGACATGCTGATTAGTAGCATGTGATGTTGGCAGCTATTTTAGTCTCATTCCAACACTGTTTTTTGCATCATTTCTAGCTGGTATGCAAGGACAGGGCCCTGGCAGACCCCTGTGCAGGTCAGGAATCAGGCAAAAAGGCCTGATAAATAAACAAGCAGCAGAAAAGATTGGAGCAGCTCTTCCCTACAACTCTGGCATTGACCTGAAGCTTTCCTGGAACTTTTTTTTTTGTAGCTTTTGGCCTTTTATCCTATAGACCTTTAATTTATTATTGGGACCTAAAGACAGCAGCTTGGGGGAGGTATTTAGATGCTCTGTGTAGCCCAATACTCTGTTCCTAAATGGGACCTAATAAACCAGATGCCTGCCTTGTGCTGCACTGTGAATTGTTAGCGTGAATACAAACGGTGTTTGTCTTTTAATTACTGACATTGCTCTGCGAACACACTTTGCAGCAATGCTTTGCCTGTTTTTATTTACAGCCTTTCAGACCTCTTCCCAGAGGTGGATCCCACCCTTTTTCTAAGACAAAATACCTCAGGCTTCCTCATGCCAGCAGCACAAGGAAGTGGAAAATCCAAGGGGTTTCTTGTTGTTGTTTTTTTGTTCTTAATGTTTCAGCTTCAATGTATTTTCCACAAACATACTCTCCTAGTTCACGTGGCAGGGAAGTGGAGGAAAAGTAACAGAGGAAAAAGGATATGTTTTACTACCTTGACATTTTTTCTCCCTTTAAACTAAATGGATCAGTCCCTCCACTGGAGCGTATCAGCCCAGCTCCATTCACTAACGTAGATCTGGGCCCTTTTGTTCCAGCTGGGGCCACGTGTCCATCTGGGCAAGCAAAGCAGGAGGTTAGATGAGCACAAGAATGGGAAAAACATCTTTGGGAAGCTGGGGTCGTTCCCTTATACACACGCATCACACATTTCTTTCCCTGGTGTTTCTCGTTTCTTTCTTCATATCATTCCTCTGGTCACAGGGCAGTGTTTTGAAAAGCCATCAGCAGCTTTCCTGATCCTACGCTGACGATAAATAACAAGCCAGCACGTAACGCTGAAGACTGGTTTTCCAACCCAGTAACAGCCTGCGGAGACCTGTTTCCATGCTGGGTGTAACCTCATCCTGGGAGAGTCACTTCTTCACTGGAGGCAACTTGTCTGTGCCAGTGCAAAGGTCCTGCTGAAGCAGCACTATTAAATATTATGATTCATCCTAATTTATTGCACTGGTACCTAGGGACTAACCCAGATCAGCTTCCCCCTGCAGCAGGCATTGTATCAAGTGAGGCACAGCACTCCCAAACAAAAGGGGTAAGTCAGAAAGTGAAAAGTGGAGATGGAGAACAAGTACAGAAGATATTTTGGGTGGCTCATTTCCCTCCCCTTTTCCCCTGCTGACTGCCAGCTTTATCCCACCCACAAACTGCTTCCAGCTCCGGCTAGGCATTCTCATCCAATTTGGGGAAAATTATTTCTTTTGCAAAGGAAGGCGATTTAAAAGGAACGGCAGATATTCACACACATAAAAGTCTGGTTCTGAAAAGTGCTTAGGAGAGAAAAGAAGAAAGAAAACTCTAACCCAAACTGTACAAACAGATGAAAAGGTTAACATTTTGGCTTCTTTTTTGGAAAAAAAAAAAAAAGAAAAAAAGTTCTTTTATATATATATATGAAGATTCCATTTACACTTTTTTTTTCTAATTGCCTGGTAATGACATCAATGCAGTGGTACGCTGTTAAGAGCTGTATATCTCCTTCCCCCAGAAGGGCTGCCCTGATTCAGAGCTATCACAGTGGCACCTGTCCTCCACACAATCTCCCACCTCCCCTTGTCCCCCTAGGACATCTCCCCAGTAAGCCCATCCCCTCTGCCATGCCACGCCACGCCATTCTCAGCAGAAGGAATTCTCACATCCAATTTTAGGCCACTTGTGCTGAATTTCTCCTTGGGTTTCAAGAGGCAAGAAATCTCAGCTGTCCTTTCAGCCCTCCTGACTTCCTAATCAGCAGTTTGGGTCTCCACGGTAGTGTACCTGAGGCACTAAAGGAGGAGGGAAGTGTATGCTACATCCCTCAACACCGAGCAAAATGCCTCACCTACCATGAAACCAGGCAGTGCCCAGACTTGCTGGATCAAAAACACCGAGACAATTTGTAGTCACTTCTCATGGAGCTAATCTTCCCTTCATGTGCAGCAACCTGCCTGTGCTTCAGAGGATTAGCCCGAATGAGGCCGTATTCAGGTTTGGGGTGTGGGAGCAGATACAAGATAGATCCACAAGACTCAGCTCCCTTACATCCTCTCCTCATGGGATGAAGGAAATTGCCTAGCCTCGATAAATGGACCAGGAATGTCCTCAGTCCCTCGGGAATGTCTCCTGTGAAATCTCACACAGCAAACAAGGAGCAAGATGTCATTTTGGAGATTGATGTGCAGAAGCTGTTTCTAGCTACTCCTATTTCCTATTCCACCACTGTTCACAAACAAGCTCTGTTCCTCAGCAACTGTAGTTCCCACCACCCCTCAGGCATATAGTCCCCCAGCTGGCACCCAAAAAGAAGACAGACCTCGCTCTTGTCCCACCTTCAGAGGGCAGAAAGTGCTAGATTGGCCTTGCTCACCTCTGGGGACGGGAACTGCGATTTGCTTCCATCGACCGGGGCCACCAAGAGCATGTCCTGCAGGATCGTCGTCATGTGCTGAGCCATGACCTTCTGCTGGTCAAGGCTGCAGTGGTTCTCCAGGGAGATGATGACAGGGTATGGTGAGGTCTAGGACAAGACATAACATCCATCATCAGTGAACTCAGTAATTTCACCAGTCTATAGCAATTGATATAAAACCTCTGTGTTGTTTGCTCTGGAAATGAGTGCGTCAATGGCAGGGACAAAAAATGGACAAATTCAGATGTGTGGTAGCCACTCAGATCTATGCTGATGCCTTCCAGGCTGCATCAGGATGCCTCCCATGGCCTTGCCCAGTTTGGTGAGGCTCCCTGTGTCTCCACTCCACTTGCACCACAGGTCAGAGCACCTTCTTACCTCACAGAAAGACTGGGAAGGGAGCTTTGCAAGTCCCTGAGTTTGTTCAGATCCTTAAGTGATCTGAATCCTTCCTCCTTTCCTGCACAGGACTAATGTGGTTCCCTGAAGCCCCCCAGACCTCCTGTGTGCTGAAGGTATTGCTTTGCCACTGCCTAATAGCCCCAGGAGAAACTTGAGGCTGGTTCTCAAGTCAAGTGCACTGAAGAAAAATAGCAAAAAGAGCAGTCAGTCTGGACAAACCCAAAGATTTTTAAAGGCTGCTAGCCCAGGACTGCCATTCCAGAGTCTAGACCTGCTCATTCCTTTTAAACCTGAGCAGAAACTGTCCTTCACACGAGTCCCTCCAAGGTGCACACAATGCAGTTCCTCCAAACTAGGGACAGGCCCTGAGACATCAAAGCCAAACAAATCAAAAGCTAATTTGCATTTTCTACCAGGTATATTCAAGACGTTGGACGTTATTTTCATTGCAGTGGGATCCAGTATCCAGCTGTGCTGGTACAGATTTAAACTCATCCCCTGGCAGTGCTTTGTCTCACCAGTGACTTCCAGGAACAGATCTCTGCAGAAAGCAGAACAAGGATGCCTAGACAGAGGGACATATTCTACTCATAAGAAAAGTTAAAGTGAAGTCTTCATTCTTTATGCTCTCTACTGGAAGGGCAGAGATCTGCTATCAGTCTTGAACTGTGTAATAGGAGAAATCTTAGAGGGTCCCAGGTCTCTCATCCTTACTTTGAAAGCATAGTTCTTGATGGCCTTAATGACATCACTGAAGAGGATCTTGGAGGTGAGAGTGTAGCCATGATAAATGATGGGTTCCGAGTTAGGGCCATCCCAGCAGTCCAGCTCCACACAGCGGCAGCCTTTGGTGAGGGCTCTGGAAACAAAGAAGGGACCTGGTTGGGTTTTAAACCTTTGGCTCTGTCTCAAAGTGAGAGTGGATCGGCCACAGGTATTGCCTGGGAAGGTTGATGGGAAGTTCAGGGAGAAAAGGAGAAAAGAGGAGCTTGGAAAAACAGGAAAGCAGATGAAATAAGGATGGGACCAGGACAGCTCAGAGTTCACAAAGAGAGCTTAAGGTTGAGCAAGGAAAGCACATTGGGATCTGAGAAAGGAAGTCATGAAAGTCCAAAGTAAGGACCATCCAAAGAAGGAGACATAGTAAGAGCCAGATGAGAAAGGACACTCATGTCTGTGCCCAGAGTCTTTTCCCAAAGATGGTGAAGAGAAGAGAAAATCAAGAGAAGTTAGACTGGAAGAAAGACAGCCTTAAAAAACAGCTCGTGAAGCCTGGATGATGTGCCTTCTTCCTCTGGATTGATAAGACACAAGGGATGGATCCGCAGGGATGTCAGGGAGGGAGACGGGGAAACTCGGTCACAGCTGGGGAGACTGCTGAGGACCGGTTTCCCAAACAGAATCTACAGATTGAATTCCCCTTTGAAACTCCCCCTTCTACATACCCATACTCTTATTTTCATTTCTTTTCAAATGGAGGTTCCCCCTGTAAAGACTTACCTGCCTAGGAAGTGATCTTGTTTCTTTTACATACATTTCAAATAACACCACTCCTTTAACTCATTGCAGTAAGAATCATGGGATTTATTTGGTTTACAGCCAGAATGTAATTCTGCAATGTTATGATAGTGTAATAGGAATCCAAACAGCTGCTTTCATTAGTTTGTGCCAGATTTCACTCTCTACCCCTTCAAGCTTGTGACTCAAGATAGCCATTATTCCCTGGTAATCAGATAAATCATATGCAAAGACAGAATTACAGTCATTGACTTGCTTATAAGGAAACACTGTCTCACTTGATAAAGGCACAGGTGACAACAGAAGCAAGATAAGGTGTTTGTGCAAGTTAATAAAGGCCACTGCAAACATCTGGCCGTGAGACGTCAGACAGCAGTCACTGTTAAAGGCAAAAGCAGGCAACACTGCCCTGTCCAGGGATGATGTGGGAGCAACTAAACAGCTAGAGAGACCAGGCAGAAGATTCCTGATCACTCACACCATCACGTTAGCTCACATCCCATATCTTTTTTGGATCACTCCAGCTAGCCTTCTCCAAGACAAACCCCAGCATGGCTCTAAGGAATCGTCTATGCTGATAGTCCCAAAAGGCAGTAAGGATTGCAAGTGTCATGACATTATGCATCATTTTGGGCTTCTTCCAGTCTCTACACAGCTGTGCAGCTTTATCCCAGAAATCTCGGCACCCTCTAAGCTCTTTCACATGTGATCCCATGCCATATTGAGGCTGAGGGAGTTGGGGTTGTTCAGCCTGGAGAAGGGGAGGCTCTGGGAAGACCTTACAGTGGCCTGCCAGTGCCTAAAGGGGGCTACAGAAGAGCTGGGGAGGGACTCCCCTGCCCCCAAATATAGTAATTATTTATCTTACAGTCAGAAGAACACCACATGGGGTTCAGCAGAGACCCAGGACAAAGTGCAATGAAAAGGGAACCATGACCAACCTGATTTAGAAATGGGTCACCCTGATTTGAATGCAGACCTGTCCACATTCCTTGGTCTCAGGGTGACAGACTGCTTCTTGGTTCTCTTACATCTAGCAGCACAGGTGTCTTATAATGTGTCTCAAGCACCTGATGTCTTCTATAAGAAAGAGATCAGCACCTCACAGGCACTTAAACACATAAATACACACACCCATACATTACCTGATGTAGGCTTCTGTGCTGCTAGGACCTGTAAGCTGGTCTTCCATTAGATAGGTATTGTGTGAGGATGACACAAAGTAGTGGCTGAGAGGTTGAGTCATGTCCTGGTAAACTTTACGGTGTGAGGAATTGAATATATTCCCATCCTCAGACAGCAAGTACATCAGGAAACCATCTTTGGTCATGGCGTTACGTTTCTTGGCTGCCAGATAAATAGACAGAAACCCCTTGTTAAAATCTGACATGACCAGGTAGTGGTGCCATCTTCACCATGATGCCTGCTGATCTCCAGGGGATCCCAAAGGTAAAACGTGCTCCCTAGGCATTCAGCTAATGGTAGATATTGATGCTGTTCAGATAATGGTGACAGCTTCCTCTGTCGGAAAATGCTTTTAAAATCCCTTCACGAGCAGGCTCTTACAGCACTTACTGTCCTCGATAAGACCTAAAAGTGCCAAAGACAGCACTTACTTCACCTGCTTCTAGATAGCTATAGTACAAAAATCTCCATTTGAGCACTTCAAGCCTCGTTCATGCCAACACAGACATTGTCAGATGTCTAAACATGGACAGATAAATCCTGCCTAGATTATCCAATGACTACAAGATTTGCACAGAGTAAATGAAAAATAATGCAAATTTGGGAGAGAATTAGTATCTCCCCATCTTGAAGGACTGAGCTAGATTTCTGTCCTATTTTCAATCTGTGAAGTATCATCCCTCTCACGAAGGTATACCAGGACAGCACAGAGGCAGCCTATGATTCAGCGCTGGTTTCTTGAACATGTCCTCCAAATGCTGCAGTCTGCTGTTTTGCTTAATTTCTGAGCAGAAAAACAGTTCTGTGATTGCTCTCCTAAACAACTGTCACCTTGTTGGCCCTCTACTCAGAGATGTCATCAACTTACAGCTTTCTAGGTGCTCACATTCAAGAACATTTGCCTCTATTCCTGCTTCCAAAGAGCAGAAATATTGCTATATTCTTAATCTTGCAAGCCACCTGAGATCTTGACATTTGAATAAGCCTTCAGAGCCTTACCCATGGGAATTTCACTGCCTTGTAACCAACTGCATGTCAAAAACATATATATATATACATATATATATATATATATAGCTGCAGAAGAAAACAACAGAAAAGCAATTCAGAGTTCATTAAGATAGCAAGATTATGACCCAAGCCAACCAGGGTTTCCAACCTACCTAATTCGTTGGGCTCGTATCTCTGAATTAAGGGAGGTGCAGCAACAACAGCATCTTCTTCTTGTTGTGTCTCATAGAGGAACCTCACTAGGTTCTGGCAGGACATGAACCCTTCCGCATCTGCGTACTTTTGGAAGATCTTGTCTATTTCCTTTCTCTCTGTCAATATCTTGTAAAATTCCTCTATCTCATCATCCTCCAGAGCCTCTGTTTTGGACTTGTCACAGTGCTGTAAACGTAGAGGGGAGAAGGAGTGAAAACCTTCTTTCCTTCTGGCATATGCCAGCCGTAATCTGCACCAGGGCTACACAACGCAGAACACAAAATAATTGGAAACGGTTACTGGCCAGTGAATGAGAAGCGTGGTCGATGGTTCTCATTGACAAGGCCAACAGTCACATAATGGTTACAATCATTATCATTTACTCATCTGTATGCTGAAGAGCACCAGGCTCCACAGAACTATGTGCTGTGCAAAACACGAGTTAAAAGGAAGGGTCTTTGCAATCTAAGCATAAATCAAGGGTCAAAAGAAATGCACCTCTTGAGATTCCTTGGAGGAACAGAGGGAAACAATTAACTCAATGCATCTTAAATTAATGGAAACCATGGCCTAAAATCTCATAAGTGGAAAAGGCCTTCCCCTTGATCCTAGTAGGTCTGAACTCAGGGCTCAGGAGACTGTCAAGGCTATTTAGTAGGGCTGGTTGCAAAGACAGCATCAAAACTGACTTTAAAAAATCCTGCTAAATATGTGCTTGTTTAAGTGAGGGGGAAAAAATAACTCTTTTCATGGAAATTATCTATTCTTCTGCAAAAATCACCAAGTAGCAAAATCTCCACAAAATTTCAAGTCATGTATCAGCTTCTCAAGGAGCTGTAATTCAAATTCTTCACACTCCCTTGCTTCTCTACGGTTTGAACTTCTTTACTCAATAACAGCTCTGGTGGCACAATGCAGTCAAGGACTTGGCTGATCACAGAAGATCAGCAGTTTAAGATATGCAAGTTAGTGTCTCCATGAAGGACAACATCTTTTCCAACAAGAAATATTTCCAGTTTATTTAAAATATTCCCAGATTCAATTTTTCATCTTTTTTTTTTTCCCCTGTGGCAAATCCTGATAGGATTTTTTGTTTTTGTTTTTTTGTTTTTTTTTTCCTAGCAGAATTCCTCACAGAGAGGTGAACAACTATTCTCCAGTTATCTCTGGGATAACTATTTACCTCTGCAGTAAATATGACTGAGCAAAAGAAGCTGCAACGGCAAGCAGGAGCCTATCTCAGAGGAATCACTTATGGCAGGGAGCATTATACTTCTTCAGAGTGTGCTTTCCCAGAAATTTCAGCATTTGACCCACTTTAACTTAATGTCTTATTACTACAATGATTCCCTCTCTATCAATACAGCGAGATAGCCCCTCAGCAGTGGTGCCCTCATCTCATACAGCCTCCTGACATCCTACATTTCAGGTAAGTCTGAAAAACCTAACTTTTGGCATGGATGCCAAACCTCCAACAGAAGTTAAAGTGCTTGCAGAGCATGGATTGCCTTACTTAGTTTTTGGCCTAAAAACTGTTCTTTGAGTCTGATCATGCAGCATGTGCTCCACACCACCCCAAGGAGGTAGGAGTGCATTTCATCTCGCCCTCAAGATGGACAACTTGCTGTTGGTTACTGTGCCTTAGCTGACATGTGGCAACTTGTCAAACCAGAGGAATTTAATTGTTTTTGATCTTTGATCTCTTATGACAGATAGAGCTATTGTCCTGGCTTTTATGAGCAGAATGAATGTCTCAGTCGTGCCAATCATCACACTAATCTCAGCCTAACCCTTCTAATGATCTCAGCGATGGCCACAGCGGCTTTGGCAGCTCTCCAAGCAAGATGATAATGACACTGACTATCCCCATGCAATGCCTCCACTGGAGCCCTTCACTTGCAGTTTATGGCACACTTATAGTACCAAACAAAACAATCTTGACGCATTGCATTTCACAAACTGAACCAAGAACAAAAAGTTCAACTTGTTCTGATTTCAGAATCGGATGGTTAAAAGCCATGGGCTAATCTCAGGGATAGAACAACCCATTAAATGCTCAGTGCTAGAGACACCTTCAAAATGAGTTTGAGCTGTCCAGGAAACAATTTTTCCTTGCTGTCTTCCACCTCTGTATGATCCTGTCCTGTGGCTTTGGCAGATCTCACAAGCTAAGCTGAGCACTAAAATTTAGCAGTTGAAAAAGGAGTGTAAAGAGGGAAACCAGCTGGTGGAGACTGCAGCAATGCTGTGAATGGCAGGCATTCTTTTCTTTAAGACAAAACACGGAAAATAACATGATATGACTCCTAGGAAGCTAGCATTATAACTAATGTCCCTTAGGAATTTTGTTCATTAGTGGCCATTAAAGGCTGTGATGAACATAGCACAACAGCATTGGTTGGCATCATAGGCAGATTCCAGGACATATCAGATACGTGGTGTAAAACTGGGCTTTCTCTGCTTGGGCTACAAGAGCTCCGTATGAGAGAGACACTCTCAACACAAAAGGCTGTATTTTAGCTCACTTGTATGCACCATAAACCACGAGTTCTGAATGAACCTTCATTTGCCAGAAAGAGTCAGACCCTTTCTGATGCACCAGAATGAACATCCAGGTTGAAACGAAGTGAGCAACTACAGGATTTGCACGGTTTCTGGATGCATTGCATACGTCTTACTTAGGTGTGTCTAAAACCTACACACGGACACGGAGTTATGTGACAAAAAGCAAGAAAAATGTGAGAGCGTGCCCTGTAGCTCCCTCTTAAATCCTTGGTCACCCTTCCTTCCTGTGACTAAATGAAGAAAAACTCACAAAGACAGAAAAGAAGATCACCATTTTAATACACTGTAATGTCTCTCAATCCATCTATATTTAGGTAATATGTAAAATGAATATGTAATTGCTTTAGGATAACTCAGTGGTCAAACGGAGTGAGACAGACACTCCCTAGAGGCAATTCACCCCACAAGAGATATGAATTAACCTCCCGAAGGTTAATTCAGAAGGTTAATTAACCTCCTCTCTTTCCGCTGGCTATACAGGAAGCTCAGAACAATTACATGTCTAATGAGGGCACTTCAACTAGCAGCCTGGATTTAGATGGGATAAGTCAGGGCTTAGTTACTACTTGGGAGTCCTTAAGCAAAAAGAGAACTGAACTTGGGCAAGTTTCCACTCCTACTGCTCCCTTCTAACTATTGCCGTAGCTAAAGAGGTTCATTGAATGAAAAGGAGACCGTGCCTCTAAAGATAAAAGGTGTCTTTTCAGATGTTTGGTGTTTGAAGATTTAGGGACTGATTCATCCAATGCATGTGAGATCCCTCCTTCAGGATGAGGTGAATCACACCTGGTCTCCATTATTTGCTTGATCTATACAGACCGCAAAGGCAGCGAAGGAATTGGTGATTACTTTCAATGTATGTGCCTGCACTGGAGACTTCTAACTCCACCAGAGGAATTCCAGCCTTATTGCTATTCTTCCAGGGTTTTCCTGAACAGGGAACAAACCATAGGATATGCCAGCCACAGCAAGCAGCCTATCTGAAGGATTTTGCAAGATTAAAATTTTTAAAATCTGCTGCCCACCTTCCCATCGCTCCTTCAGAGATACCGAAGAGACCTCCATAAAGGAAGGATTAGAAAACTCTTCCTCTGGGGGAAGGTCCTAGCAAGACCTTGCCAACCTCCCCTGTTATCTGCTTACAGGAAGGAGCAGAACAATTACTGCCCATACCTGCAACCACCCACGTTTACCACTGATCAGAAACAGCATTTCTGAAACTGCCCACCCATGAATTCAAATCCTTCTTCAGATGGGATGGAAGTCTGGAAATTATCCAGATGTTTTATCTCACCTCAGCAGGAAAGCTCATTTAGAGAGACTCTAAAAACAACTTAGAAATTTTCATCCCTTTCTTATCTTCAGATAGGCTCAGCCGGCAGCTGAATCTTGAGTTAGATTTATTAGATGTTTATGTCCCAAGTGGATTGAATGTACCTTGGGCTATTAGAGCAACCAGACTCTTCCAGGTCTAGGTGCAATGTCACATTTGTTTACGCAAGTCACTTGGAATCCTCCTCCCCTGGGAAGGTAAAGGATTCATAATTTTAACCAAACTGATTTCAGGTAGGCTTAGGCATCGATATGTGGTTATGGCACACAGAACTCCTGAAACACCTGGGACTCAAAGTGCACCTACACTGCTTTTTTCTTTTTCTTTCTCTATCCATGTTCATGTGTCTTCTCTGAACCCAGGTAAAATTGGGTATCAATGGTAAAGAAAGAACATGTTAGCGTAACTTCACCAAAAGCACTATGCTGCCCTAACTCAGTTGTTTGTAGGAATCTGTTGAGCACCAAAGCCCCCACATCCTTCCTTAGTACAAGTAAAGATGCTATGAATTCACTTTAGTTCCCCAACCAAAGCTGAAAGCAGCAGGAGACCTTGTCCTCAGCCAACAGCAAGTACTTCATCTGCTTGCACTTGTTACCTGGAAAATCTCCTTGGCATGATAGTCATCAACTTCAATGTTCACTTCTTTTAGGAAGTTCTTGAGCTCTTTCAAGCTCATCTTGTTGTCTTTGTTCTTATCAGCTTTCCGCAGGCAGGTATGAATCCAACTGCAGGATGATGTAAGGAAATCTTTCCAGATCAGTACATTGTCTAAACACCACCCCCCTGTAGCCCCTGGGGGTAAGGAGGGAAATTTCTTCTAAAGACTCTGAACCACCTCTCCATGCTGCTGTAAATCAGCACCCTCCCACTGAACAGCTTGCATCAGCTCACCTTCTGCTCTGAAAGGGCACAACGGTGCTTTGGCAGCAACAAAATGCTCTGTAATACAAGCTATCATGACATGGGGAAAGCTTTTAACTACCTGGCCAAAGCTGGACCAGCTCTATTTACCCTCTAGGAGTTTCTCATCACAGCCACATCACAAAACAGTCCAATCTCTCTTTTACAAAAGAAAGTGCATTCTGCTCCAGACTGTTAAGAGGGGAGAGAGGAGGGAGTAAAAGTACAGGAAACTAATCCCAAGTACAGGAAACTAATCATTAGGGATTTGACTGATATTCAGTGTATCAAATTGAACACTGAACAGGGATTCTCCAAAAGAAACGTTGGTATTTATCTTCTTACTCACCTTCAGCTTCTGTATTTGTTTAGGGATTTCTTCCTAAATAGTCTTAAAGAACTTTGTAGTAAGCCAAAATCAAAATCAATACAAACTTTATGGATCTTGACTTTCCTCTATAAAATACACGAGGTCCATTCCTGTATGCTACTGTGATAATAGTTCCTAAAAGCTTCATTTACAATGACTTCAGTATATCTACGGATCTAAAGAAATTACTACCAAAAAAAAAAATGAGCTTCTCAATGTGACACAACGTAATTTGAACTGGGTCTCCCATGTTTTTTAGTCCCTTGGGAAAATAATGTTAGATGGTTGACACGGTTGACATACCTTTGAGTTTGTTGGGTTTTTTTGTTTGTTTGTTTGTTTTAATGTTTGTTTGTTTGTTTTGCATCAAACAGCTCTCTCTCTCTAATTTGCTTTAACTGTCAAATGACAAAGGTCACCCAGAAGAATCTCCTACTTCTCAATAGAAAAAGGATGGAAGTAACAATTAGATCTCCATGAATCTAACCAGCTATGTCTTGCACAGGGAGCATTGCTTCAAATTCATTAAAAAATAAAAATAAAAAATGCTCGATCTGGATGTTAAACAGAGTAAACTTCAGAATTAGCAAACACCAGCTGGGACATATAGTGCCATAACATTTTATCTGGTCCGTTCAAAATCACCTCCAAAAAGAGGTGCTAACTGACAGCCTTTAAGGGCTATAGACATAACCCTGAAAGAGGGTATTCACCAGAGCTACCATTGGATTAAAATATTTCCAGACACTTGGAAATATGTGTAAACTGTTTGTTAGTGTTGTTGGTCTCATGGAAAGATGAACTTTCTGTCTTTAAAAATCTTGGCAGGTGCTAAACCATGACCTCACACTGCATCCCTCTTAGCCTGGTAATATTAATATTCCTCTTTTATACACATGGAAATGAAAATAAAGAGAGGCTACATTTGCCCTGGCTCCCAAGGATACTCCAGGGCCCTGAACCAGGCTCTGGCTGGGAGCAGTTCCCTATAAAACCAAGTTTGAGACACGAAGCTCCTATGTGAGCTCTCCCAGGGATGCTCTGCTGGGAGCACACCACCATCCTCCCCAGGGTGGAGAACACCAACTGTGCTCCAAGAGCATCAATCTGCTCAGCATGTCAACGCGGTGCCAACAGCAGGGCCACCCATTCCCACCCAACCCCTGCACCACCTTTAGCTCCCCTAAAAGGACAGGAGTAATGCACACCTCTAAGGAGCCAAGGGGAAAGCCTGTATGTCGTAGCCAGACGTGGGCAGCAGGAGTGGCTACTAATTCCGTGTAGGAATTACAATGTTTGCTCTAGCCACTGCAAAAGCAAGCCACCTTTTTTTACAAGTCTGTGGTCATTTTCACTGATCACGAGCACCCAAAGCTCATGCACATATCCAAAGTCCACTCTGGAAAGCAGTATGTGAACAGTAAAAGGGAACCACAAAAGAATATGCCTGGGTCTGACTGCGAATGGAGGGTGCTTTTCTCTGCTGTTGCTCCCAGAAAGGCTGAGCAACGCGGGAGGGAAATCAGAGAGCCCACGAAGAGCAGAGGCACACAGCAGGGCCTCTCACCACGAGGGTAAGAAAAAGGAGACTACAGACAACTGGAGCCTCAGCCTGTTATTTCAGCAAGCAGTGTTCAGTCTCAGAAAGACCCAAACTCCTCACGCATCTGGATCCCCCTCGGGTTTGAGAGAGCTTAGAGGAGCTGGGTGAACTAAGCACTTAGACTGAAATTCTTCTCATCTGATACAAACACTGCTTTGCTGCCCTGGTTGCGGGTCTTCCTTTCACTTTACACAGCTTACTTGGGCCTGGAGAACTAGGAAGGAGCTGGTCCCATTCCTGTGTATGTCCAGAGTGCCTGCCTCCTGCCCCTTGTTTTCAAAGCATCTGCCAGCTTCAGGACTACCAGCTTTCTATGCGAAACCAAAAAGGGATGACTGAAACCATCTGGCAGACATCCCACGAATGTGCTTGGAACAGAAATGCTGCAAAACTTCTGGTAAGTGACTCCCGACCAGAAGAAAAGCTCATATATACATTCCAGAATTGAAGCAGGCGGTGCCATGCTACCCTAATGAAAAGTTCCCTGTATTTTCTGGCCTAAAGTCATCCCTGCACACATACCTGCAATGTTAGCTTAACAACCTATGCCAATTTGTTGATGGCGAAATCTGAGGCTTAGTAAAACACTACTGTATGCACAAGAACATCAGAAATACTCTTCAAGCACGAGGAGGTTTTATCTTGTAGGTATATAGAACTGGAGAGGACACAGAAGACACTAATTCCAGTCCCTTGCTACCACGGTTATAACAAATCCCACCTGCCACTAGCATGTCCTTTGCTCTCAATACTTGTTTTCAAAATCCTGCTCAGCCCTTATTTGCTTTGCAGGGTCTTGAAGTCTGGGAAACACCCACAGCAAGGCAGTTCTCCAGTGACGGGGGCCAAGCAGGGGACCCAACACTTCTCCTCCACAACTGACTCTTCCCCTTCTGTGCTCACAGATGCAGAGAACACTTCTGAGGTTTAAGTAAGATCTGAGTAAGCCCACGCTGCCAAGCAAACCCAGTGAAGACAGACTAAATTTAAAATCCCAGGCTTTAATTAAACATCATCAAATTTCAAATGAGAAATCATGCTGTTCTGTAATTCCAGGTTACGTTAAATGGCCTGAGACAATCCCAGATTGGAAGCCAGCACTGCACAGTAATTACTCTTCCAGAAATACGGCTTGCCTACCAACCCCATTTAGCTCTGATTCTGCTTTCCAAAGACAGTGAGGCACTTTTCCACGCTGGAAATTTACAGCTTTCTTCCTTTGCAAATGTCATTGTTATTTACCCCCTCCCCTCAGTGATCTGGTCTCTTCTTACAGGGAAGATTTTCAGCAATACAGTCAATTTTGACATGCTGCAGGGACAAGTTTCTGTAGTCCAGATTTCCCCCACGCACCATGGGGTGGGGGCAGCCTTCACATTCAAAAGGAAAACTGCCAGGCTGTACCATTTCTATCAGCACTGGAGCTGCAGGATTTCAGCTTGCCTGGGGACTGCTCCCTGCCACCATGGACACACAACTGCTGGCACAGCTTAGAGGCTAAAGCTTGAAAAAACACCTGAAATGATACTCATAGCGCAAGAGATAAACACACCACCATATGCACATCGGAACTAATGGAATCTTATTCCTTTAAAGAAGCTGCTCTATGGCTGTGCAAGTGCTTATTAGGCTTCAGATAACCCACAGAAGAGTAAAGCCTGATGAAAGCTCAGCATTTATGTGCCGTTTCCTTCATCACCAGTACATTATTACCCAGCAGGGAACCCGCATGGAGTGAAGCCTTGACTGAGGGCAAGGCTCCCCGGGGCCAGCTCAGGCTCAGACTCCAGTTTTGTGATTTTCCCCAGCTGAGGACTTCACATCTCCCTTCCTCTGTGCAAATTCTTTGATGTTGAACCAGGCATGAAGCTCACGCAGCCTCCCCTCACTGCAAGCACTATCTGTTTTCCTCTCTGATAGCGGGATGCCTATTTTCGTGGAGCTTAAAGGAACTTAATACTTTATGACCCCTGCTGCTCTGTCAAATCAGGGTGAAATTGGCCAGCAGGTTCATATGTTACGGCCACGGCCTCAGGCACACAGGGATCCTAGAAAATCAAGCAAAAGCTACATCCACAGATATTCTGCTTTTACATGGATGCAAGACGTGTGGTCACAAAGCAACTTACTGAGTGAAACTTGGCCCTGGGGAAAATTCCCTGGGAATTCAGCAAAGCCAGGATTTCACCCAATAACCATCTCACTCTCCTTCTCACAGCTAATTCACTCTTCTTTCCTGCTTTTCTCCTTTTCCCTTCTGTGTCTGCATTGTCTCTAGAGCGACTGCAAACTCTTTCAGGGCAAAACTTCCTCCCATGCTAAGGCAAATAAGGAGTAGTTTCACTGGAGTTAGAGGAGCTACCCTACAGTAAACTTGGCAGAGAGAAGAGGAGAATCAGTTCCCTTGCCTTGTATTGCTGAGAAACATGATAAACAATAGAGGCTTTTTATGCCTTGCCAAAAAGTGCCCGTCCTGGAGTTTACTGCAATGCAAGTGAAACAGACCCCTGAAGAATACAAAAGATAATGATTGTTTTATCTAGAGATCCCTGAAAGGGGCAATTCTTTACTTAAGGAGCTATGTGGAGCCTGACTCCACTCTCGCCTGTAGGAAAGGAAAAAAAAAGCACTGGAAACCAGGGATTTGCCTGGGTGCAAAATCAATGTGAGAGAAAACTCGGTGCCCAGGGCCAATAGGAAAAAAGGGGTCTAGTCTACTATCTCCACCCACTGAGGACAAGTGCTTCTTTGTGTGTGATTAATCACTTTACAAGGCAAAGGATACTGTTGGAGTTTCTGTTTCTGGTTCATGGAGTTGCTGTGGGCTATGATTTTCCCAAGGCCGCGGACCCAGTGGTTGGCATCGTCCTCTGAACTTGCAATGAGGTCCAGGTTTTTCCGCTGGTCTTTGAAGACGATGGAAAAGCAGCGATACTCTGGTACATCCTTGGCGTATTTTTCCATACCTTCTGTTTTATGGCCTGACCTCACATCCCGAATATCTTCAATGGAGACTGTGGAAAGAAAGCAGAGCCTGTTGTCAGCAGGGGTTCAGTCATCCTTATCTCTGTTTGGTGATGGATATTCAGAAATTACTCTTTTTCCTTTTCCTGCAACCTCTCCCTCCCACAGCCGGAGGATTCCCTTCTCTTTTCTGCCTTCCACAAACTTTGTTGCTGCAGAAAGCTCAAATGAAAAGGAACAGACAGAGCAAGAAAACAAACATACAAAGCCCCTGACACCTCTCCTTTGTTCTTTTCCCATGTCCTTTATTTAAGAGAGACTCACTATACGCATGGATGCCATACTGTGATACCATATTTATGACTTATTAGTCACTGTCAAGGCAGACTCCAGTCCTTGGAGCATCCCTGCCTTGACCTCTGCCCCTGTCTGTGAGTCGGGGCAATGGATCTATGCCGCCCCATGAACAGGGGCAGGTAACCCAGTAGGTCTGTCCACTTTCCCCTGTAAGTCTGGTCCTGGATTTATCACTGAGACCATCATTTTCAAGTGTCCCACCTGTGACACTGATATTCAGAGACAGGAGCTACCAGCTTCTCAAATCCATGCTCTTTTCCATGCTTCTGAAAAAGGACACCAGAAATCACTGATTGCTTTTGTGGCTTCATCTGTTGGTGTTTTTCTCACTCCTCTATAAACACGGGGAGACAAAACACTAATCCTCCTCTGCAAAATGCTTGGGTGCTTTTGGCGTTTTAGACACAACTAAGATTTCTCTTGGGCATAGTATTAGATGCCATGTAATCAATACCCACTTGAAAGACCGGAGGATCATGACCAACAGGACCTCACCCCATCAATCAAATAACCTTTGGCTATTCTAGTCTCAAATCTTAAAATCCCATATACGCTTCTCAGTCACACTAGTAAAAACTGGGGAGACAAAGACCAAAGCCTCAGAGCAGTTTGGTGTCACCAACGATCCGTCCACACCCCTGCCAAAGGCAGACTTGATCCTCGTTGCTGTGAGCAAGCAATACACAGCTTTCAAACCCTCCCATTTCCATCTCTGACTCCCGGCTAGTGGAAACAAGCCCTGAAGGCACACCAAGTTTGCCATGCGCACATGCGAGGCAGTCCAGAAAGAGTCGTGTATTCAACAAAGTACGTGAAGCAAAGGTATGTAACTGAGGCAGTCCTACTCTGCTCTGAGAGCATTGCTGGTGACCTCAAGCTCTGCTGAAAGCAGGCAAGCTCAGAAACTGAGCTCTCTCCCAGCAGCACACACAGTCTCCTTTTGTCTTTCGGGAGTTGATGGGCCACTTAATACATCTACAAAGGCCTGAGAGGAAAGGGCTGACACTGCTTAATCAGATTTGATGCTGAGAAACTTAACACCTAAATAGGCACTTACATACACTAGATGAAAAAACTGTTTGCAAATGATGTTGGAGTCAATAACTCAGAACGTCCAGTTGCATTTGCCTTGGGGGTTGACAGACCAGTTAACATTTTGCAAGCATCTACATTCATCTCAGGGCACACACACAGAAGATAGCACACCTGAGAGATTGTATTGGGTTTATGTGGCGAGGTTTTGTTAGTGGGTGGGCTGCAGTGAGAAGAATCCAGCAGCTGCCCCATGGTACATATGGGCCAGTTCAGCTGGCTCCAAAGGGATCCACGTCTGGCCAGAGCTGAGTCAATAAGTGATGTTGTTTGTGCCTCTGGGAGAGCAGATTTAAGGAAGGGGAAAAAACTGCTGCACAACAGCAGCTGGGAGAGTGAGGAGTGAGACCCAGCCCTGCAGCCCCCAAGGTGAGAGCAGCAGGAGGGCAGGAGGTGCTCCAGGGAGACAGCAGCAGTTCCCCTGTGGCCTGTGGAGAGGCCCCTGGTGGAGCAGGCTGTCCCCCTGCAGCCCATGGGTCCCCCATGGAGCAGATCTCCACGCTGCAGCCCCCCCGTGGGTGCAGGAGCCCCCAGTGGAGCAGGTGGATGTGGCCTGGAGGAGGCTGCGGCCCATGGAGAGCCCCCGCAGGAGCAGGCCCCGGGCCGGAGCTGCAGCCTGTGGAAAGGAGCCCACGCAGGAGCAGGGGGGCTGAGGGAGACGCTGCCCATGTTAATTGTTGAGTGATCTCCATGTCCTTAGCCTTTGAGCCCTTTTCAAAATATTCTTCCCTCTTTCTCTTAGAGGAAGGGAAGTGAGAGCAGTTGTAGGGGAGCTCAGCAGCCTAGCTGAGTAAAACCACCACAGAGATATCCAGACATCTTCAGTAACACGCATGCCTAAAACCAGATAGAATCACTGGAATATGAAAAAAGTTGGTTTTAACTTATTCCTATTTCAAACTGAAAAATATGGGTAAATATTAATTCCTGTCTCATGGAGGTATGAGACTGATTTTGTTCGTGCTTGTCTTCAAGGAGCTTTATTAAAAACCATATGTGAGTGTAAAATATCTCTACTATTTAGCTGAGTAAGAGAAACTTGAGAAATTTACCCCCCAAAAGAAAAAGATTTAACCTATTCCTTCATTTAAATTGGTTCATTTTCACTGTTACAGTGCCAATTCATTCAAATTCAACACTGCAGAAATACACAACTCAATATCCACCCTGCATATTTTTAGCATGGCTGCCCTGGGATCACCCAAAACTCACTGGATGCTCATCAGAGTTTAAAAATCTCCCTTTTTCCCCAGGGCAGTCATGATATAGCTCAGCTGTGGGGAAAAAACACACACACTCAGCAAAAAAACCCTACAATTTCCAAAAATTAGCGACTGTCCAAAACCAACACTTGACATTTGCTTTAAATTCCCACCATGTGTTGGGGTGGTCAAACACCTTCCATAACACTCTGCTGATTTGGTGTCTATATAAGAAGATGCCGTGAGACCCTTCCTGGAGTTGGCAAAGCTCCTCTCTGATGATGTGCAATTACCTTTGTGTGGTCTTATTTTCACTTGGTGAAGGCCAACAGTGGAACAGACGGAGGGGAGGGGAGGAGAGGTTTGGGTTGGGATGGGATGGGATGGGCTGCTGTGGAATTACATTATCTGGCCAACTTACTTCAGAGTGAAAGCTTATGGTTTTGAGTGCTAAAACTACCTTTCGAAGAAAAGGGCTGCAATTCCCTTGAAGCTAGGTTGCTGGTGGAGAGCCTTTCTGCTGAGTTTGCTTGTTAACCAGCACATTGGGCAAATGACAGGGATTGTGCCTTAGGTAGCACTGCACAGTTTACACCTTTATTGTAAAGGATGCTGTGATGTTTAAAGGGATTCAGCTCAGTCAAAATACCTAAATCTCAGTATCTTAGTTAGGCTCCTTTTATAAGCAATGGGAAAAAAAAAAAAAGAGAGAGAAAAAAAACTTTTGGAACACAAACTTTCTGTCCTATTTAGAAATAAATTTAGCATGTGAGAAATCAAAGCCTAAATCTACAACTACAGTGGATCCTTGACCAGAAAGGAAGCCCAGGCTGAGCATCTCAGAGGCAGATGTGTACCATGCAGATGGTCCATAAGCAGGTGATTCTGCTCCACTCCCGGTGTCCTTTGGTTATGGCAGTGCAAGTGGAAGGATCATCCTGTTGTTCCTCATCACCTGCCAACTGCTCACCACTGCTTGGCTCCTAAGTTATTATCCCTTCAGACCGGCTAGCTACTCTGCTTGTGCAATCAATCCCTAAACTTTGGGTTGGCAATGACAGAGTGTTTCCAAGACTAGAAAATCTGATGTTAAATATTGGAAATTTAGAATGTATTCTTTGGAAACCGTTATCTGGCAAAGTGAATCCACTGGAAAAAAAAAGTGAGTTGTGTGGGAGGAAAAAAGATTGAAAACCTGTAGCTGGAAGGGCTGCCTTGATCTCCATGGAGTATACTGCTGAGAAGAGGATGATGGAGGGCACAGAGTGTCCCCATGCAGAAAAAGTACAAGGCTGAGGAACAAGATCAATGTCTACTGTTGTCACACAAGAGACAAGAGAAGCTATCAGTGCAGGAACCATTAAAAAAGCAAAGGAGGACATTTTTTAAAGCTTTCCGTTGCTTGGTCATATGTACTGCTTTCATCTATCAATATAAAAGCTGAAGCCAAAGGAGTCAGCCCAAGCCATCTGCAAATGTTATCTCTTTTCTGGAAAATCTTAGTCCAGCATGAATACATTATCAGCTGCTCCTGGACAAAGACTGTGCTGTATTAGCAGTCCCAAACCAACTGTGTTCTCAGATGAGCTAGCTGCAAGGAGAGATCAGAAAGAAGTGGGGGACAGAGAAGTGATTTACAGAAGAGGTGCAGTTACAGCAAACACCGATCAATCACATATCCCTGAAACCTTTCCTGGTCCTTCCCCATCACGCCACAGTGGGGAGGTAACCACAAGCAAAAGGGAATCTGAAAAGTTTGCATCTGCTTCTCTTGAGTGTTTATGTCTGCTGAAATTCTGGTTTGTGAGAAGCCCAAAATAATGAAGCATCACACAAGGAAGCTTGAGTCCTCCCCGGCCTCCAGACATTGAGTCAAACAGGTTACATGCCGGTCAGCCTTCTTGGCCAGCGCCACAGCTGATGGTCATAGCTCCCTGCTCACATGGACATACACCAGCATTCCCTGGAGCCACTGAAATTACTCCTCTCAGTCTCATGGAGATGTGAGAATTTTCTTTTTATTCTCGTGCCCCTGTGCACCTCCCTTCCTTGGTCCTGTGCCCTTCTCCCAGTTCACCCATAGCATTAGCAGGTTTGAGTCAGGCCCACAGAACACAGAAGAACAGTTTCAACAGCCCAATATTTTCAAGGAGTGTCTCTTTTGGGAGTCTCTTCTGATTTATATTTCTCTCTTCATGCCTTTCAAGGAGTTTGCTGCTACACTTGCAAACTCATCCCCTCATGCAGAAGGACAAGGAACACCTCCTTTGAAGGAAGACAAAAGCTGTGACTCACACCAATGTGCCTGAAAGCAGACTTAGAGAGTATGCAAGAGCTCAGGTCCAACACAGTGACCCACAAAACCTTGCTGAGTGGGTTCAGAGCCTCACCTCTGTCTC